TCGCGACGCTCTGGGGCGTCCGGGGAGAGCATCGCGACGCTCTGGGGCGTCCGGGGAGAGCATCGCGACGCTCTGGGGCGTCCGGGAGAGCATCGCGACGCTCTGGGGCGTCCGGGGGAGCATCGCGACGCTCTGGGGCGTCCGGGGAGAGCATCGCGACGCTCTGGGGCGTCCGGGAGAGCATCGCGACGCTCTGGGGCGTCCGGGGAGAGCATCGCGACGCTCTGGGGCGTCCGGGGAGAGCATCGCGACGCTCTGGGGCGTCCGGGGAGAGCATCGCGACGCTCTGGGGCGTCCGGGGAGAGCATCGCGACGCTCTGGGGCGTCCGGGGAGAGCATCGCGACGCTCTGGGGCGTCCGGGGAGAGCATCGCGACGCTCTGGGGCGTCCGGGGAGAGCATCGCGACGCTCTGGGGCGTCCGGGGAGAGCATCGCGACGCTCTGGGGCGTCCGGGAGAGCATCGCGACGCTCTGGGGCGTCCGGGGAGAGCATCGCGACGCTCTGGGGCGTCCGGGGAGAGCATCGCGACGCTCTGGGGCGTCCGGGGAGAGCATCGCGACGCTCTGGGGCGTCCGGGGAGAGCATCGCGACGCTCTGGGGCGTCCGGGGAGAGCATCGCGACGCTCTGGGCGTCCGGGGAGAGCATCGCGACGCTCTGGGGCGTCCGGGGAGAGCATCGCGACGCTCTGGGGCGTCCGGGGAGAGCATCGCGACGCTCTGGGGCGTCCGGGGAGAGCATCGCGACGCTCTGGGGCGTCCGGGGAGAGCATCGCGACGCTCTGGGGCGTCCGGGGAGAGCATCGCGACGCTCTGGGGCGTCCGGGAGAGCATCGCGACGCTCTGGGGCGTCCGGGGAGAGCATCGCGACGCTCTGGGGCGTCCGGGGAGAGCATCGCGACGCTCTGGGGCGTCCGGGGAGAGCATCGCGACGCTCTGGGGCGTCCGGGGAGAGCATCGCGACGCTCTGGGGCGTCCGGGGAGAGCATCGCGACGCTCTGGGGCGTCCGGGGAGAGCATCGCGATGCTCTGGGGCGTCCGGGGAGAGCATCGCGACGCTCTGGGGCGTCCGGGAGAGCATCGCGACGCTCTGGGGCGTCGGGGAGAGCATCGCGACGCTCTGGGGCGTCCGGGGAGAGCATCGCGACGCTCTGGGGCGTCCGAGGAGAGCATCGCGACGCTCTGGGGCGTCCTGGGAGAGCATCGCGACGCTCTGGGGCGTCCGCGGAGAGCATCGCGACGCTCTGGGGCGTCCGGGGAGAGCATCGCGACGCTCTGGGGCGTCCGGGGAGAGCATCGCGACGCTCTGGGGCGTCCGGGGAGAGCATCGCGACGCTCTGGGGCGTCCTGGGAGAGCATCGCGACGCTCTGGGGCGTCCGGGGAGAGCATCGCGACGCTCTGGGGCGTCCGGGGAGAGCATCGCGACGCTCTGGGCGTCCGGGGAGAGCATCGCGACGCTCTGGGGCGTCCGGGAGAGCATCGCGACGCTCTGGGGCGTCGGGGAGAGCATCGCGACGCTCTGGGGCGTCCGGGAGAGCATCGCGACGCTCTGGGGCGTCCGGGGAGAGCATCGCGACGCTCTGGGGCGTCCGGGGAGAGCATCGCGACGCTCTGGGGCGTCCGGGGAGAGCATCGCGACGCTCTGGGGTCGGGGAGAGCATCGCGACGCTCTGGGGCGTCCGGGAGAGCATCGCGACGCTCTGGGGCGTCCGGGGAGAGCATCGCGATGCTCTGGGGCGTCCGGGAGAGCATCGCGACGCTCTGGGGCGTCCGGGAGAGCATCGCGACGCTCTGGGGCGTCCGGGGAGAGCATCGCGACGCTCTGGGGCGTCCGGGGAGAGCATCGCGACGCTCTGGGGCGTCCGGGGAGAGCATCGCGACTCTGGGGCGTCCGGGGAGAGCATCGCGACGCTCTGGGGCGTCCGGGGAGAGCATCGCGACGCTCTGGGGCGTCCGGGGAGAGCATCGCGACGCTCTGGGGCGTCCGGGGAGAGCATCGCGACGCTCTGGGGCGTCCGGGGAGAGCATCGCGACGCTCTGGGGCGTCCGGGGAGAGCATCGCGACGCTCTGGGGCGTCCGGGGAGAGCATCGCGACGCTCTGGGGCGTCCGGGAGAGCATCGCGACGCTCTGGGGCGTCCGGGGAGAGCATCGCGACGCTCTGGGGCGTCCGGGGAGAGCATCGCGACGCTCTGGGGCGTCCGGGAGAGCATCGCGACGCTCTGGGGCGTCCGGGGAGAGCATCGCGACGCTCTGGGGCGTCCGGGGAGAGCATCGCGACGCTCTGGGGCGTCCGGGAGAGCATCGCGACGCTCTGGGGCGTCCGGGGAGAGCATCGCGACGCTCTGGGGCGTCCGGGAGAGCATCGCGACGCTCTGGGCGTCCGGGGAGAGCATCGCGACGCTCTGGGGGTCCGGGGGAGAGCATCGCGACGCTCTGGGGCGTCCGGGGAGAGCATCGCGACGCTCTGGGGCGTCCGGGGAGAGCATCGCGACGCTCTGGGGCGTCCGGGAGGAGCATCGCGACGCTCTGGGGCGTCCGGGGAGAGCATCGCGACGCTCTGGGGCGTCCGGGGAGAGCATCGCGACGCTCTGGGGCGTCCGGGGAGAGCATCGCGACGCTCTGGGGCGTCCGGGGAGAGCATCGCGACGCTCTGGGGCGTCCGGGGAGAGCATCGCGACGCTCTGGGGCGTCCGGGGAGAGCATCGCGACGCTCTGGGGCGTCCGGGGAGAGCATCGCGACGCTCTGGGGCGTCCGGGGAGAGCATCGCGACGCTCTGGGGCGTCCGGGGAGAGCATCGCGACGCTCTGGGGCGTCCGGGGAGAGCATCGCGACGCTCTGGGGCGTCCGGGGAGAGCATCGCGACGCTCTGGGGCGTCCGGGGAGAGCATCGCGACGCTCTGGGGCGTCCGGGGAGAGCATCGCGACGCTCTGGGGCGTCCGGGGAGAGCATCGCGACGCTCTGGGGCGTCCGGGGAGAGCATCGCGACGCTCTGGGGCGTCGGGGAGAGCATCGCGACGCTCTGGGGCGTCCGGGGAGAGCATCGCGACGCTCTGGGGCGTCCGGGGAGAGCATCGCGACGCTCTGGGCGTCCGGGGAGAGCATCGCGACGCTCTGGGGCGTCCGGGGAGAGCATCGCGACGCTCTGGGGCGTCCGGGGAGAGCATCGCGACGCTCTGGGGCGTCCGGGGAGAGCATCGCGACGCTCTGGGGCGTCCGGGGAGAGCATCGCGACGCTCTGGGGCGTCCGGGGAGAGCATCGCGACGCTCTGGGGCGTCCGGGAGAGCATCGCGACGCTCTGGGGCGTCCGGGAGAGCATCGCGACGCTCTGGGGCGTCCGGGGAGAGCATCGCGACGCTCTGGGGCGTCCGGGAGAGCATCGCGACGCTCTGGGGCGTCCGGGGAGAGCATCGCGACGCTCTGGGGCGTCCGGGAGAGCATCGCGACGCTCTGGGGCGTCCGGGGAGAGCATCGCGACGCTCTGGGGCGTCCGGGGAGAGCATCGCGACGCTCTGGGGCGTCCGGGGAGAGCATCGCGACGCTCTGGGGCGTCCGGGGAGAGCATCGCGACGCTCTGGGGCGTCCGGGAGAGCATCGCGACGCTCTGGGGCGTCCGGGGAGAGCATCGCGACGCTCTGGGGCGTCCGGGAGAGCATCGCGCGCTCTGGGGCGTCCGGGGAGAGCATCGCGACTCTCTGGGGCGTCCGGGGAGAGCATCGCGACGCTCTGGGGCGTCCGGGAGAGCATCGCGACGCTCTGGGGCGTCCGGGGAGAGCATCGCGACGCTCTGGGGCGTCCGGGAGAGCATCGCGACGCTCTGGGGCGTCCGGGGAGAGCATCGCGACGCTCTGGGGCGTCCGGGGAGAGCATCGCGACGCTCTGGGGCGTCCGGGGAGAGCATCGCGACGCTCTGGGGCGTCCGGGGAGAGCATCGCGACGCTCTGGGGCGTCCGGGAGAGCATCGCGACGCTCTGGGGCGTCCGGGGAGAGCATCGCGACTCTCTGGGGCGTCCGGGGAGAGCATCGCGACGCTCTGGGGCGTCCGGGGAGAGCATCGCGACGCTCTGGGGCGTCCGGGAGAGCATCGCGACGCTCTGGGGCGTCCGGGGAGAGCATCGCGACGCTCTGGGGCGTCCGGGGAGAGCATCGCGACGCTCTGGGGCGTCCGGGGAGAGCATCGCGACGCTCTGGGGCGTCCGGGAGAGCATCGCGACGCTCTGGGGCGTCCGGGGAGAGCATCGCGACGCTCTGGGGCGTCCGGGGAGAGCATCGCGACGCTCTGGGGCGTCCGGGGAGAGCATCGCGACGCTCTGGGCGTCCGGGGAGAGCATCGCGACGCTCTGGGGCGTCCGGGGAGAGCATCGCGACGCTCTGGGGCGTCCGGGGAGAGCATCGCGACGCTCTGGGGCGTCCGGGAGAGCATCGCGACGCTCTGGGCGTCCGGGGAGAGCATCGCGACGCTCTGGGGCGTCCGGGGAGAGCATCGCGACGCTCTGGGGCGTCCGGGGAGAGCATCGCGACGCTCTGGGGGTCCGGGAGAGCATCGCGACGCTCTGGGGCGTCCGGGGAGAGCATCGCGACGCTCTGGGGCGTCCGGGGAGAGCATCGCGACGCTCTGGGGCGTCCGGGGAGAGCATCGCGACGCTCTGGGGCGTCCGGGGAGAGCATCGCGACGCTCTGGGGCGTCCGGGAGAGCATCGCGACGCTCTGGGGCGTCCGGGGAGAGCATCGCGACGCTCTGGGGCGTCCGGGGAGAGCATCGCGACGCTCTGGGGCGTCCGGGAGAGCATCGCGACGCTGGGGCGTCCGGGGAGAGCATCGCGACGCTCTGGGGCGTCCGGGGTGAGCATCGCGACGCTCTGGGGCGTCCGGGGAGAGCATCGCGACGCTCTGGGGCGTCCGGGGAGAGCATCGCGACGCTCTGGGGCGTCCGGGAGAGCATCGCGATGCTCTGGGGCGTCCGGGGAGCATCGCGACGCTCTGGGGCGTCCGGGGAGAGCATCACGACGCTCTGGGGCGTCCGGGAGAGCATCGCGACGCTCTGGGGCGTCCGGGGAGAGCATCGCGACGCTCTGGGGCGTCCGGGGAGAGCATCGCGACGCTCTGGGGCGTCCGGGGAGAGCATCGCGACGCTCTGGGGCGTCCGGGGAGAGCATCGCGACGCTCTGGGGCGTCCGGGGAGAGCATCGCGACGCTCTGGGGCGTCCGGGGAGAGCATCGCGACGCTCTGGGGCGTCCGGAGAGAGCATCGCGACGCTCTGGGGCGGCTAGGGAGAGCATCGCGACGCTCTGGGGCGTCCGGGGAGAGCATCGCGACGCTCTGGGGCGTCCGGGGAGAGCATCGCGACGCTCTGGGGCGTCCGGGGAGAGCATCGCGACGCTCTGGGGCGTCCAGGGAGAGCATCGCGACGCTCTGGGGCGTCCGGGGAGAGCATCGCGACGCTCTGGGGCGTCCGGGGAGAGCATCGCGACGCTCTGGGGCGTCCGGGGAGAGCATCGCGACGCTCTGGGGCGTCCGGGGAGAGCATCGCGACGCTCTGGGGCGTCCGGGGAGCATCGCGACGCTCTGGGGCGTCCGGGAGAGCATCGCGACGCTCTGGGGCGTCCGGGGAGAGCATCGCGACGCTCTGGGGCGTCCGGGGAGAGCATCGCGACGCTCTGGGGCGTCCGGGGAGAGCATCGCGACGCTCTGGGGCGTCCGGGGAGCATCGCGACGCTCTGGGGCGTCCGGGGAGAGCATCGCGACGCTCTGGGGCGTCCGGGAGAGCATCGCGACGCTCTGGGGCGTCCGGGAGAGCATCGCGACGCTCTGGGGCGTCCGGGGAGAGCATCGCGATGCTCTGGGGCGTCCGGGGAGAGCATCGCGATGCTCTGGGGCGTCCGGGGAGAGCATCGCGACGCTCTGGGGGCGTCCGGGGAGAGCATCGCGACGCTCTGGGGCGTCCGGGGAGAGCATCGCGACGCTCTGGGGCGTCCGGGGAGAGCATCGCGACGCTCTGGGGGGGGGAGGAGGGCATGCTCGGGGGCGTCCGGGGAGAGCATCGCGACGCTCTGGGGCGTCCGGGGGGGCGTCCGGGAGAGCATCGCGGCGACGCTCTGGGGAGAGGGAGGGGCGTCCGGGGAGAGCATCGCGACGCTCTGGGGCGTCCGGGGAGAGCATCGCGACCGGGGGAGAAGCGACGCTCTGGGGCGTCCGGGAGAGCATCGCGACGCTCTGGGGCGTCCGGGGAGAGCATCGCGACGCTCTGGGGCGTCCGGGGAGAGCATCGCGACGCTCTTGGGCGTCCGGGGAGAGCATCGCGACGCTCTGGGGGGGCGTCCGGGGAGCATCGCGACGCTCTGGGGCGGGGGGGGGCGGCTGGGGAGAGCATCGCGACGCTCTGGGGCATCATCGTCCGGGGAGAGCATGGCGACGCTCTCTGGGCGTCCGGGGAGAGCATCGCGACGCTCTGGGGCGTCCGGGGAGAGCATCGCGACGCTCTGGGGGCGTCCGGGGAGAGCATCGCGACGCTCTGGGGCGTCCGGGAAGAGCATCGCGACGCTCTGGGGCGTCCGGGAGAGCATCGCGACGCTCTGGGGCGTCCGGGGAGAGCATCGCGACGCTCTGGGGGGCTGGGTCCGGGGAGTCCCGCTCCGGGGAGAGCATCTCGATCTCGGACGCTCTGGGGCGTCCGGGGAGAGATCGGGGCGTCCGGGGGGAGAGAGCATCGCGACGCTCTGGGGCGGGGGGGAGAGGCATCGGACGCTCGGGGCGTCCGGGGAGAGCATCGCGACGCTCGGGGGGGAGAGCATCGCGACGCTCTGGGGCGTCCGGGGAGAGCATCGCGATGCTCTGGGCCTCCGGGGACCATCGCTCTGGGGTCCGGGGAGAGCATCGCGACGCTCTGGGGCGTCCGGGGAGAGAGCATCGCGACGCTCTGGGGCGTCCGGGGAGAGCATCGCGACGCTCTGGGCGTCCGGGGAGAGCATCGCGACGCTCTGGGGCGTCCGGGGAGAGCATCGCGACGCTCTGGGGCGTCCGGGGAGAGCATCGCGACGCTCTGGGGCGTCGGGGAGAGCATCGCGACGCTCTGGGTCCGGGGAGCATCGCGACGCTCTGGGGCGTCCGGGAGAGCATCGCGACGCTCTGGGGCGTCCGGGGAGAGCATCGCGACGCTCTGGGGCGTCCGGGGAGAGCATCGCGACGCTCTGGGGCGTCCGGGAGAGCATCGCGACGCTCTGGGGCGTCCGGGGAGAGCATCGCGACGCTCTGGGGCGTCCGGGGAGAGCATCGCGACGCTCTGGGGCGTCCGGGGAGAGCATCGCGACGCTCTGGGGCGTCCAGGGAGAGCATCGCGACGCTCTGGGGTGTCCGGGGAGAGCATCGCGACGCTCTGGGGCGTCCGGGAGAGCATCGCGACGCTCTGGGGCGTCCGGGGAGAGCATCGCGACGCTCTGGGGCGTCCGGGGAGAGCATCGCGACGCTCTGGGGCGTCCGGGGAGAGCATCGCGACGCTCTGGGGCGTCCGGGGAGAGCATCGCGACGCTCTGGGGCGTCCGGGGAGAGCATCGCGACGCTCTGGGGCGTCCGGGGAGAGCATCGCGACGCTCTGGGGCGTCCGGGGAGAGCATCGCGACGCTCTGGGGGCGTCCGGGGAGAGCATCGCGACGCTCTGGGGCGTCGGGGAGAGCATCGCGACGCTCTGGGGCGTCCGGGGAGAGCATCGCGACGCTCTGGGGCGTCCGGGGAGAGCATCGCGACGCTCTGGGCGTCCGGGGAGAGCATCGCGATGCTCTGGGGCGTCCGGGGAGAGCATCGCGACGCTCTGGGGCGTCCGGGGAGAGCATCGCGACGCTCTGGGGCGTCCGGGGAGAGCATCGCGACGCTCTGGGGGGCGTCCGGGGAGAGCATCGCGACGCTCTGGGGCGTCCGGGGAGAGCATCGCGACGCTCTGGGGCGTCCGGGGAGAGCATCGCGACGCTCTGGGGCGGGGGGGGCGTCCGGGGAGCATCGCGACGCTCTGGGGCGTCCGGGGAGAGCATCGCGACGCTCTGGGGCGTCCAGGGAGAGCATCGCGATGCTCTGGGGCGTCCGGGGAGAGCATCGCGACGCTCTGGGGCGTCCGGGGAGAGCATCGCGACGCTCTGGGGCGTCCGGGGAGAGCATCGCGACGCTCTGGGGCGTCCGGGGAGAGCATCGCGACGCTCTGGGGCGTCCGGGGAGAGCATCGCGACGCTCTGGGGCGTCCGGGGAGAGCATCGCGACGCTCTGGGGCGTCCGGGGAGAGCATCGCGACGCTCTGGGGCGTCCGGGAGAGCATCGCGACGCTCTGGGGGCGTCCGGGGAGAGCATCGCGACGCTCTGGGGCGTCCGGGGAGAGCATCGCGACGCTCTGGGGCGTCCGGGGAGAGCATCGCGACGCTCTGGGCGTCCGGGGAGAGCATCGCGACGCTCTGGGGCGTCGGGGAGAGCATCGCGACGCTCTGGGGCGTCCGGGGAGAGCATCGCGACGCTCTGGGGCGTCCGGAGAGAGCATCGCGACGCTCTGGGGCGTCCGGGGAGAGCATCGCGACGCTCTGGGGCGTCCGGGGAGAGCATCGCGACGCTCTGGGGCGTCCGGGGAGAGCATCGCGACGCTCTGGGGCGTCCGGGGAGAGCATCGCGACGCTCTGGGGCGTCCGGGGAGCATCGCGACGCTCTGGGGCGTCCGGGGAGAGCATCGCGACGCTCTGGGGCGTCCGGGGAGAGCATCGCGACGCTCTGGGGCGTCCGGGGAGAGCATCGCGACGCTCTGGGGCGTCCGGGGAGAGCATCGCGACGCTCTGGGGCGTCCGGGGAGAGCATCGCGACGCTCTGGGGCGTCCGGGGAGAGCATCGCGACGCTCTGGGGCGTCCGGGGAGAGCATCGCGACGCTCTGGGGCGTCCGGGAGAGCATCGCGACGCTCTGGGGCGTCCGGGGAGAGCATCGCGACGCTCTGGGGCGTCCGGGGAGAGCATCGCGACGCTCTGGGGCGTCCGGGGAGAGCATCGCGACGCTCTGGGGCGTCCGGGGAGAGCATCGCGACGCTCTGGGGCGTCCGGGGAGAGCATCGCGACGCTCTGGGGCGTCCGGGGAGAGCATCGCGATGCTCTGGGGCGTCCGGGAGAGCATCGCGACGCTCTGGGGCGTCCGGGGAGAGCATCGCGACGCTCTGGGGCGTCCGGGGAGAGCATCGCGACGCTCTGGGGCGTCCGGGGAGAGCATCGCGACGCTCTGGGGCGTCCGGGGAGAGCATCGCGACGCTCTGGGGCGTCCGGGGAGAGCATCGCGACGCTCTGGGGCGTCCGGGGAGAGCATCGCGACGCTCTGGGGCGTCCAGGGAGAGCATCGCGACGCTCTGGGGCGTCCGGGTAGAGCATCGCGACGCTCTGGGCGTCCGGGAGAGCATCGCGACGCTCTGGGGCGTCCGGGAGAGCATCGCGACGCTCTGGGGCGTCCGGGGAGAGCATCGCGACGCTCTGGGGCGTCCGGGGAGAGCATCGCGACGCTCTGGGGCGTCCGGGGAGAGCATCGCGACGCTCTGGGGCGTCCGGGGAGAGCATCGCGACGCTCTGGGGCGTCCGGGGAGAGCATCGCGACTCTCTGGGGCGTCCGGGGAGAGCATCGCGACGCTCTGGGGCGTCCGGGGAGAGCATCGCGACGCTCTGGGGCGTCCGGGGAGAGCATCGCGACGCTCTGGGGCGTCCGGGGAGAGCATCGCGACGCTCTGGGGCGTCCGGGGAGAGCATCGCGACGCTCTGGGGCGTCCGGGAGAGCATCGCGACGCTCTGGGGCGTCCGGGGAGAGCATCGCGACGCTCTGGGGCGTCCGGGAGAGCATCGCGACGCTCTGGGGCGTCCGGGGAGAGCATCGCGACGCTCTGGGGCGTCCGGGGAGAGCATCGCGACGCTCTGGGGCGTCCGGGGAGAGCATCGCGACGCTCTGGGGCGTCCGGGGAGAGCATCGCGACGCTCTGGGGCGTCCGGGGAGAGCATCGCGACGCTCTGGGGCGTCCGGGGAGAGCATCGCGACGCTCTGGGGCGTCCGGGGAGAGCATCGCGACGCTCTGGGGCGTCCGGGGAGAGCATCGCGACGCTCTGGGGCGTCCGGGGAGAGCATCGCGACGCTCTGGGGCGTCCGGGGAGAGCATCGCGACGCTCTGGGGCGTCCGGGGAGAGCATCGCGACGCTCTGGGGCGTCCGGGAGAGCATCGCGACGCTCTGGGGCGTCCGGGGAGAGCATCGCGACGCTCTGGGGCGTCCGGGGAGAGCATCGCGACGCTCTGGGGCGTCCGGGGAGAGCATCGCGACGCTCTCTGGGGCGTCCGGGGAGCATCGCGACGCTCTGGGGCGTCCGGGGAGAGCATCGCGACGCTCTGGGGCGTCCGGGGAGAGCATCGCGACGCTCTGGGGCGTCCGGGGAGAGCATCGCGACGCTCTGGGGCGTCCGGGGAGAGCATCGCGACGCTCTGGGCGTCCGGGGAGAGCATCGCGACGCTCTGGGGCGTCCGGGGAGAGCATCGCGACGCTCTGGGGCGTCCGGGGAGAGCATCGCGACGCTCTGGGGCGTCCGGGAGAGCATCGCGACGCTCTGGGGCGTCCGGGGAGAGCATCGCGACGCTCTGGGGCGTCCGGGGAGAGCATCGCGACGCTCTGGGGCGTCCGGGGAGAGCATCGCGACGCTCTGGGGCGTCCGGGGAGAGCATCGCGACGCTCTGGGGCGTCCGAGGAGAGCATCGCGACGCTCTGGGGCGTCCGGGGAGAGCATCGCGACGCTCTGGGGCGTCCGGGGGAGAGCATCGCGACGCTCTGGGGCGTCCGGGGAGAGCATCGCGACGCTCTGGGGCGTCCGGGGAGAGCATCGCGACGACTCTGGGGCGTCCGGGGAGAGCATCGCGACGCTCTGGGGCGTCCGGGGAGAGCATCGCGACGCTCTGGGGCGTCCGGGGAGAGCATCGCGACGCTCTGGGGCGTCCGGGGAGCATCGCGACGCTCTGGGGCGTCCGGGGAGAGCATCGCGACGCTCTGGGGCGTCCGGGGAGAGCATCGCGACGCTCTGGGGCGTCCGGGGAGAGCATCGCGACGCTCTGGGGCGTCCGGGGAGAGCATCGCGACGCTCTGGGGCGTCCGGGGAGAGCATCGCGACGCTCTGGGGCGTCCGGGGAGAGCATCGCGACGCTCTGGGGCGTCCGGGGAGAGCATCGCGACGCTCTGGGGCGTCCGGGGAGAGCATCGCGACGCTCTGGGGCGTCCGGGGAGAGCATCGCGACGCTCTGGGGCGTCCGGGAGAGCATCGCGACGCTCTGGGGCGTCCGGGGAGAGCATCGCGACGCTCTGGGGCGTCCGGGGAGAGCATCGCGACGCTCTGGGGCGTCCGGGGAGAGCATCGCGACGCTCTGGGGCGTCCGGGAGAGCATCGCGACGCTCTGGGGCGTCCGGGAGAGCATCGCGACGCTCTGGGGCGTCCGGGGAGAGCATCGCGACGCTCTGGGGCGTCCGGGGAGAGCATCGCGATGCTCTGGGGCGTCCGGGGAGAGCATCGCGACGCTCTGGGGCGTCCGGGGAGAGCATCGCGACGCTCTGGGGCGTCCGGGGAGAGCATCGCGACGCTCTGGGGCGTCCGGGGAGAGCATCGCGACGCTCTGGGGCGTCCGAGGAGAGCATCGCGACGCTCTGGGGCGTCCGGGAGAGCATCGCGACGCTCTGGGGCGTCCGGGGAGAGCATCGCGACGCTCTGGGGCGTCTGGGGAGAGCATCGCGACGCTCTGGGGCGTCCGGGGAGAGCATCGCGACGCTCTGGGGCGTCCGGGGAGAGCATCGCGACGCTCTGGGGCGTCCAGGTGAGCATCGCGACGCTCTGGGGCGTCCGGGGAGAGCATCGCGACGCTCTGGGGCGTCCGGGGAGAGCATCGCGACGCTGGGGGGTGGGGGGGGGGGGGGGGAGAGCATCGCGACGCTCTGGGCGTCCGGGGAGAGCATCGCGACGCTCTGGGGCGTCCGGGGAGAGCATCGCGACGCTCTGGGGCGTCCGGGAGAGCATCGCGACGCTCTGGGGCGTCCGGGAGAGCATCGCGACGCGCTGGGGCGTCCGGGAGAGCATCGCGACGCTCTGGGGCGTCCGGGGAGAGCATCGCGACGCTCTGGGGCGTCCGGGGAGAGCATCGCGCGCTCTGGGGCGTCCGGGGAGAGCATCGCGACGCTCTGGGGGCGTCCGGGGAGCATCGCGACGCTCTGGGGCGTCCGGGAGAGCATCGCGACGCTCTGGGGCGTCCGGGGAGAGCATCGCGACGCTCTGGGGCGTCCGGGGAGAGCATCGCGACGCTCTGGGGCGTCCGGGGAGAGCATCGCGACGCTCTGGGGCGTCCGGGGAGAGCATCGCGACGCTCTGGGGCGTCCGGGAGAGCATCGCGACGCTCTGGGGCGTCCGGGAGAGCATCGCGACGCTCTGGGGCGTCCGGGGAGAGCATCGCGACGCTCTGGGGCGTCCGGGGGAGAGCATCGCGATGCTCTGGGGCGTCCGGGGAGAGCATCGCGACGCTCTGGGGCGTCCGGGGAGAGCATCGCGACGCTCTGGGGCGTCCGGGAGAGCATCGCGACGCTCTGGGGCGTCCGGGGAGAGCATCGCGACGCTCTGGGGCGTCCGGGGAGAGCATCGCGACGCTCTGGGGCGTCCGGGGAGAGCATCGCGACGCTCTGGGGGCGTCCGGGGAGAGCATCGCGACGCTCTGGGGCGTCTGGGGAGAGCATCGCGACGCTCTGGGGCGTCCGGGGGAGCATCGCGACGCTCTGGGGCGTCCGGGAGAGCATCGCGACGCTCTGGGGCGTCCGGGGAGAGCATCGCGACGCTCTGGGGGGTCCGGGGAGAGCATCGCGACGCTCTGGGGCGTCCGGGGAGAGCATCGCGATGCTCTGGGGCGTCCGGGGAGAGCATCGCGACGCTCTGGGGCGTCCGGGGAGAGCATCGCGACGCTCTGGGGCGTCCGGGGAGAGCATCGCGACGCTCTGGGGCGTCCGGGGAGAGCATCGCGACGCTCTGGGGCGTCCGGGGAGAGCATCGCGACGCTCTGGGGCGTCCGGGGAGAGCATCGCGACGCTCTGGGGCGTCCGGGGAGAGCATCGCGACGCTCTGGGGCGTCCGGGAGAGCATCGCGACGCTCTGGGGCGTCCGGGAGAGCATCGCGACGCTCTGGGGCGTCCGGGAGAGCATCGCGACGCTCTGGGGCGTCCGGGGAGAGCATCGCGACGCTCTGGGGCGTCCGGGGAGAGCATCGCGACGCTCTGGGGCGTCCGGGAGAGCATCGCGACGCTCTGGGGCGTCCGGGGAGAGCATCGCGACGCTCTGGGGCGTCCGGGGAGAGCATCGCGAACTCTGGGGGCGTCCGGGGAGAGCATCGCGACGCTCTGGGGCGTCCGGGGAGAGCATCGCGACGCTCTGGGGCGTCCGGGGAGAGCATCGCGACGCTCTGGGGCGTCCGGGGAGAGCATCGCGACGCTCTGGGGCGTCCGGGGAGAGCATCGCGACGCTCTGGGGCGTCCGGGAGAGCATCGCGACGCTCTGGGGCGTCCGGGGAGAGCATCGCGACGCTCTGGGGCGTCCGGGAGAGCATCGCGACGCTCTGGGGCGTCCGGGAGAGCATCGCGACGCTCTGGGGCGTCCGGGGAGCATCGCGACGCTCTGGGGCGTCCGGGGAGAGCATCGCGACGCTCTGGGCGTCCGGGGAGAGCATCGCGACGCTCTGGGGCGTCCGAGGAGAGCATCGCGACGCTCTGGGGCGTCCGGGAGAGCATCGCGATGCTCTGGGGCGGCTGGGGAGAGCATCGCGACGCTCTGGGGCGTCCGGGGAGAGCATCGCGACGCTCTGGGGCGTCCGGGGAGAGCATCGCGACGCTCTGGGGCGTCCGGGGAGAGCATCGCGACGCTCCGGGGCGTCCGGGGAGAGCATCGCGACGCTCTGGGGCGTCCGGGGAGAGCATCGCGACGCTCTGGGGCGTCCGGGGAGAGCATCGCGACGCTCTGGGGCGTCCGGGGAGAGCATCGCGACGCTCTGGGGCGTCCGGGGAGAGCATCGCGACGCTCTGGGGCGTCCGGGGAGAGCATCGCGACGCTCTGGGGCGTCCGGAGAGAGCATCGCGACGCTCTGGGGCGTCCGGGGAGAGCATCGCGACGCTCTTGGGCGTCCGGGGTGAGCATCGCGACGCTCTGGGGCGTCCGGGGAGAGCATCGCGACGCTCTGGGGCGTCCGGGGAGAGCATCGCGACGCTCTGGGGCGTCCGGGGAGAGCATCGCGACGCTCTGGGGCGTCCGGGGAGAGCATCGCGACGCTCTGGGGCGTCCGGGGAGAGCATCGCGACGCTCTGGGCGTCCGGGAGAGCATCGCGACGCTCTGGGGCGTCCGGGGAGAGCATCGCGACGCTCTGGGGCGTCCGGGAGAGCATCGCGACGCTCTGGGGCGTCCGGGGAGAGCATCGCGACGCTCTGGGGCGTCCGGGGAGAGCATCGCGACGCTCTGGGGCGTCCGGGGAGCATCGCGACGCTCTGGGGCGTCCGGGGAGCATCGCGACGCTCTGGGGCGTCCGGGGAGAGCATCGCGACGCTCTGGGGCGTCCGGGGAGAGCATCGCGACGCTCTGGGGCGTCCGGGGAGAGCATCGCGACGCTCTGGGGCGTCTGGGGAGAGCATCGCGACGCTCTGGGGCGTCCGGGGAGAGCATCGCGACGCTCTGGGGCGTCCGGGGAGAGCATCGCGACGCTCTGGGGCGTCCGGGGAGAGCATCGCGACGCTCTGGGGCGTCCGGGGAGAGCATCGCGACGCTCTGGGGCGTCCGGGAGAGCATCGCGACGCTCTGGGGGCCGGGGAGAGCATCGCGACGCTCTGGGGCGTCCGGGGAGAGCATCGCGACGCTCTGGGGCGTCCGGGGAGAGCATCGCGACGCTCTGGGGCGTCCGGGGAGAGCATCGCGACGCTCTGGGGCGTCCGGGAGAGCATCGCGACGCTCTGGGGCGTCCGGGGAGAGCATCGCGACGCTCTGGGGTGTCCGGGGAGAGCATCGCGACGCTCTGGGGCGTCCGGGGAGAGCATCGCGATGCTCTGGGGCGTCCGGGGAGCATCGCGACGCTCTGGGGCGTCCGGGGAGAGCATCGCGACGCTCTGGGGCGTCCGGGAGAGCATCGCGACGCTCTGGGGCGTCCGAGGAGAGCATCGCGACGCTCTGGGGCGTCCGGGAGAGCATCGCGACGCTCCGGGGCGTCCGGGGAGAGCATCGCGATGCTCTGGGGCGTCCGGGAGAGCATCGCGACGCTCTGGGGCGTCCGGGGAGAGCATCGCGACGCTCTGGGGCGTCCGGGGAGAGCATCGCGACGCTCGGGGCGTCCGGGAGAGCATCGCGACGCTCTGGGGCGTCCGGGGGAGCATCGCGACGCTCTGGGGCGTCCGGGGAGCATCGCGACGCTCTGGGGCGTCCGGGGAGAAATCGCGACGCTCTGGGGCGTCCGAGGAGAGCATCGCGACGCTCTGGGGCGTCCGGGAGAGCATCGCGACGCTCTGGGGCGTCCGGGTAGAGCATCGCGACGCTCTGGGGCGTCCGGAGAGCATCGCGACGCTCTTGGGCGTCCGGGGAGAGCATCGCGACGCTCTGGGGCGTCCGGGAGAGCATCGCGACGCTCTGGGGCGTCCGGGGAGAGCATCGCGACGCTCTGGGGCGTCCGGGGAGAGCATCGCGACGCTCTGGGGCGTCCGGGAGAGCATCGCGACGCTCTGGGGCGTCCGGGGAGAGCATCGCGACGCTCTGGGGCGTCCGGGAGAGCATCGCGACGCTCTGGGGGCGTCCGGGAGAGCATCGCGACGCTCTGGGCGTCCGGGGAGAGCATCGCGACGCTCTGGGGCGTCCGGGGAGAGCATCGCGACGCTCTGGGGCGTCCGGGGAGAGCATCGCGACGCTCTGGGGCGTCCGGGGAGAGCATCGCGACGCTCTGGGGCGTCCGGGAGAGCATCGCGACGCTCTGGGGCGTCCGGGGAGAGCATCGCGACGCTCTGGGGCGTCCGGGGAGAGCATCGCGACGCTCTGGGGCGTCCGGGGAGAGCATCGCGACGCTCTGGGGCGTCCGGGGAGAGCATCGCGACGCTCTGGGGCGTCCGGGGAGAGCATCGCGACGCTCTGGGGGCGTCCGGGAGAGCATCGCGACGCTCTGGGGCGTCCGGGGAGAGCATCGCGACGCTCTGGGGCGTCCGGGGAGAGCATCGCGACGCTCTGGGGCGTCCGGGGAGAGCATCGCGACGCTCTGGGGCGTCCGGGGAGAGCATCGCGACGCTCTGGGGCGTCCGGGGAGAGCATCGCGACGCTCTGGGGCGTCCGGGGAGAGCATCGCGACGCTCTGGGGCGTCCGGGGAGAGCATCGCGACGCTCTGGGGCGTCCGGGGAGAGCATCGCGACGCTCTGGGGCGTCCGGGGAGAGCATCGCGACGCTCTGGGGCGTCCGGGGAGAGCATCGCGACGCTCTGGGGCGTCCGGGGAGAGCATCGCGACGCTCTGGGGCGTCCGGGGAGAGCATCGCGACGCTCTGGGGCGTCCGGGGAGAGCATCGCGACGCTCTGGGGCGTCCGGGGAGAGCATCGCGACGCTCTGGGGCGTCCGGGGAGAGCATCGCGACGCTCTGGGGCGTCCGGGAGAGCATCGCGACGCTCTGGGGCGTCCGGGGAGAGCATCGCGACGCTCTGGGGCGTCCGGGGAGAGCATCGCGACGCTCTGGGGCGTCCGGGAGAGCATCGCGACGCTCTGGGGCGTCCGGGAGAGCATCGCGACGCTCTGGGGCGTCCGGGGAGAGCATCGCGACGCTCTGGGGCGTCCGGGGAGAGCATCGCGACGCTCTGGGGCGTCCGGGGAGAGCATCGCGACGCTCTGGGGCGTCCGGGGAGAGCATCGCGACGCTCTGGGGCGTCCGGGGAGAGCATCGCGACGCTCTGGGGCGTCCGGGGAGAGCATCGCGACGCTCTGGGGCGTCCGGGGAGAGCATCGCGACGCTCTGGGGCGTCCGGGGAGAGCATCGCGACGCTCTGGGGCGTGGGGGAGAGCATCGCGACGCTCTGGGGCGTCCGGGAGAGCATCATCACGACGCTCTGGGGCGTCCGGGGAGAGCATCGCGACGCTCTGGGGCGTCCGGGGAGAGCATCGCGACGCTCTGGGGCGTCGGGAGAGCATCGCGACGCTCTGGGGCGTCCGGGGAGAGCATCGCGACGCTCTGGGGCGTCCGGGGAGAGCATCGCGACGCTCTGGGGCGTCCGGGAGAGCATCGCGACGCTCTGGGGCGTCCGGGGAGCATCGCGACGCTCTGGGGCGTCCGGGAGAGCATCGCGACGCTCTGGGGCGTCCGGGGAGAGCATCGCGACGCTCTGGGGCGTCCGGGAGAGCATCGCGACGCTCTGGGGCGTCCGGGGAGAGCATCGCGACGCTCTGGGCGTCCGGGGAGAGCATCGCGACGCTCTGGGGCGTCCGGGAGAGCATCGCGACGCTCTGGGGCGTCCGGGGAGAGCATCGCGACGCTCTGGGGCGTCCGGAGAGAGCATCGCGACGCTCTGGGGCGTCCGGGGAGAGCATCGCGACGCTCTGGGGCGTCCGGGAGAGCATCGCGACGCTCTGGGGCGTCCGGGGAGAGCATCGCGACGCTCTGGGGCGTCCGGGGAGAGCATCGCGACGCTCTGGGGCGTCCGGGGAGAGCATCGCGACGCTCTGGGGCGTCCGAGGAGAGCATCGCGACGCTCTGGGGCGTCCGGGGAGAGCATCGCGACGCTCTGGGGCGTCCGGGGAGAGCATCGCGACGCTCTGGGGCGTCCGGGGAGAGCATCGCGACGCTCTGGGGCGTCCGGGGAGAGCATCGCGACGCTCTGGGGGCGTCCGGGGAGAGCATCGCGACGCTCTGGGGCGTCCGGGGAGAGCATCGCGACGCTCTGGGGCGTCCGAGGAGAGCATCGCGACGCTCTGGGGCGTCCGGGAGAGCATCGCGACGCTCTGGGGCGTCCGGGGAGAGCATCGCGACGCTCTGGGGCGTCCGGGGAGAGCATCGCGACGCTCTGGGGCGTCCGGGAGAGCATCGCGACGCTCTGGGGCGTCCGGGGAGAGCATCGCGACGCTCTGGGGCGTCCGGGGAGAGCATCGCGACGCTCTGGGGCGTCCGGGAGAGCATCGCGACGCTCTGGGGCGTCCGGGGAGAGCATCGCGACGCTCTGGGGCGTCCGGGGAGAGCATCGCGACGCTCTGGGGCGTCCGGGGAGAGCATCGCGACGCTCTGGGGCGTCCGGGGAGAGCATCGCGACGCTCTGGGGCGTCCGGGGAGAGCATCGCGACGCTCTGGGGCGGGCGTCCGGGGAGAGCATCGCGACGCTCTGGGGCGTCCGGGGAGAGCATCGCGACGCTCTGGGGCGTCCGGGGAGAGCATCGCGACGCTCTGGGGCGTCCGGGAGAGCATCGCGACGCTCTGGGGCGTCCAGGGAGAGCATCGCGACGCTCTGGGGCGTCCGGGGAGAGCATCGCGACGCTCTGGGGCGTCCGGGGAGAGCATCGCGACGCTCTGGGGCGTCCGGGGAGAGCATCGCGACGCTCTGGGGCGTCCGGGGAGAGCATCGCGACGCTCTGGGGCGTCCGGGGAGAGCATCGCGACGCTCTGGGGCGTCCGGGGAGAGCATCGCGACGCTCTGGGGCGTCCGGGAGAGCATCGCGACGCTCTGGGGCGTCCGGGGAGAGCATCGCGACGCTCTGGGGCGTCCGAGGAGAGCATCGCGACGCTCTGGGGCGTCCGGGGAGAGCATCGCGACGCTCTGGGGCGTCCGGGTAGAGCATCGCGACGCTCTGGGGCGTCCGGGGAGAGCATCGCGACGCTCTGGGGCGTCCTGGGGAGAGCATCGCGACGCTCTGGGGCGTCCGGGGAGAGCATCGCGACGCTCTGGGGCGTCCGGGGAGAGCATCGCGACGCTCTGGGGCGTCCGGGGAGAGCATCGCGACGCTCTGGGGCGTCCGGAGGAGAGCATCGCGACGCTCTGGGGCGTCCGGGGAGAGCATCGCGATGCTCTGGGGCGTCCGGGGAGAGCATCGCGACGCTCTGGGGCGTCCGGGGAGAGCATCGCGACGCTCTTGGGCGTCCGGGGAGAGCATCGCGACGCTCTGGGGCGTCCGGGGAGAGCATCGCGATGCTCTGGGGCGTCCGGGGAGAGCATCGCGACGCTCTGGGCGTCCGGGGAGAGCATCGCGACGCTCTGGGGCGTCCGGGGAGAGCATCGCGACGCTCTGGGGCGTCCGGGGAGAGCATCGCGACGCTCTGGGGCGTCCGGGGAGAGCATCGCGACGCTCTGGGGCGTCCGGGGAGAGCATCGCGACGCTCTGGGGCGTCCGGGAGAGCATCGCGACGCTCTGGGGCGTCCGGGAGAGCATCGCGACGCTCTGGGGCGTCCGGGGAGAGCATCGCGACGCTCTGGGGCGTCCGGGGAGAGCATCGCGACGCTCTGGGGCGTCCGGGGAGAGCATCGCGACGCTCTGGGGCGTCCGGGAGAGCATCGCGACGCTCTGGGGCGTCCGGGGAGAGCATCGCGACGCTCTGGGGCGTCCGGGGAGAGCATCGCGACGCTCTGGGGCGTCCGGGAGAGCATCGCGACGCTCTGGGGCGTCCGGGGAGAGCATCGCGACGCTCTGGGCGTCCGGGGAGAGCATCGCGACGCTCTGGGGCGTCCGGGGAGCATCGCGACGCTCTGGGGCGTCCGGGGAGAGCATCGCGACGCTCTGGGGCGTCCGGGGAGAGCATCGCGACGCTCTGGGGCGTCCGGGGAGAGCATCGCGACGCTCTGGGGCGTCCGGGGAGAGCATCGCGACGCTCTGGGGCGTCCGGGGAGAGCATCGCGACGCTCTGGGGCGTCCAGGGAGAGCATCGCGACCTCTGGGGCGTCCGGGGGAGAGCATCGCGACGCTCTGGGGCGTCCGGGGAGAGCATCGCGACGCTCTGGGCGTCCGGGGAGAGCATCGCGACGCTCCTGGGGCGTCCGGGGAGAGCATCGCGACGCTCTGGGGGTCCGGGGAGAGCATCGCGACGCTCTGGGGCGTCCGGGAGAGCATCGCGACGCTCTGGGGCGTCCCGGTGGAGAGGGGGGGGGAGAGCATCGCGACGCTCTGGGGCGTCCGGGGAGAGCATCGCGACGCTCTGGGGCGTCCGGGAGAGCATCGCGACGCTCTGGGGGCGTCCGGGGAGAGCATCGCGACGCTCTGGGGCGTCCGGGGAGAGCATCGCGACGCTCTGGGGCGTCCGGGGAGAGCATCGCGACGCTCTGGGGCGTCCGGGGAGAGCATCGCGACGCTCTGGGGCGTCCGGGGAGAGCATCGCGACGCTCTGGGGCGTCCGGGAGAGCATCGCGACGCTCTGGGGCGTCCGGGGAGAGCATCGCGACGCTCTGGGGCGTCCGGGGAGAGCATCGCGACGCTCTGGGGCGTCCGGGGAGAGCATCGCGACGCTCTGGGGCGTCCGGGGAGAGCATCGCGACGCTCTGGGGCGTCCGGGGAGAGCATCGCGACGCTCTGGGGCGTCCGGGGAGAGCATCGCGACGCTCTGGGGCGTCCGGGGAGAGCATCGCGACGCTCTGGGGCGTCCGGGGAGAGCATCGCGACGCTCTGGGCGTCCGGGGAGAGCATCGCGACGCTCTGGGGCGTCCGGAGAGAGCATCGCGACGCTCTGGGGCGTCCGGGGAGAGCATCGCGACGCTCTGGGGCGTCCGGAGAGCATCGCGACGCTCTGGGGCGTCCGGGGAGAGCATCGCGACGCTCTGGGGCGTCCGGGGAGAGCATCGCGACGCTCTGGGGGCGTCCGGGAGAGCATCGCGACGCTCTGGGGCGTCCGGGAGAGCATCGCGACGCTCTGGGGCGTCCGGGAGAGCATCGCGACGCTCTGGGGCGTCCGGGGAGAGCATCGCGACGCTCTGGGGCGTCCGGGGAGCATCGCGACGCTCTGGGGCGTCCGGGGAGAGCATCGCGACGCTCTGGGGCGTCCGGGGAGAGCATCGCGACGCTCTGGGGGCGTCCGGGAGAGCATCGCGACGCTCTGGGGCGTCCGGGGAGAGCATCGCGACGCTCTGGGGCGTCCGGGGAGAGCATCGCGACGCTCTGGGGCGTCCGGGGAGAGCATCGCGACGCTCTGGGGCGTCCGGGAGAGCATCGCGACGCTCTGGGGCGTCCGGGAGAGCATCGCGACGCTCTGGGGCGTCCGGGGAGAGCATCGCGACGCTCTGGGGCGTCCGGGGAGAGCATCGCGACGCTCTGGGGCGTCCGGGGAGAGCATCGCGGGGGGGGGGGGGAGACGCTCTGGGGCGTCCGGGGAGAGCATCGCGACGCTCTGGGGCGTCCGGGGAGAGCATCGCGACGCTCTGGGGCGTCCGGGGAGAGCATCGCGACGCTCTGGGGCGTCCGGGGAGAGCATCGCGACGCTCTGGGGCGTCCGGGGAGAGCATCGCGACGCTCTGGGGCGTCCGGGGAGAGCATCGCGACGCTCTGGGGCGTCCGGGGAGAGCATCGCGACGCTCTGGGGCGTCCGGGAGAGCATCGCGACGCTCTGGGGCGTCCGGGGAGAGCATCGCGACGCTCTGGGGGCGTCCGGGGAGAGCATCGCGACGCTCTGGGGCGTCCGGGGAGAGCATCGCGACGCTCTGGGGCGTCCGGGGAGAGCATCGCGACGCTCTGGGGCGTCGGGGAGAGCATCGCGACGCTCTGGGGCGTCCGGGAGAGCATCGCGACGCTCTGGGGCGTCCGGGAGAGCATCGCGACGCTCTGGGGCGTCCGGGGAGAGCATCGCGACGCTCTGGGGCGTCCGGGGAGAGCATCGCGACGCTCTGGGGCGTCCGGGGAGAGCATCGCGACGCTCTGGGGCGTCCGGGGAGAGCATCGCGACGCTCTGGGGCGTCCGGGGGAGAGCATCGCGACGCTCTGGGGCGTCCGGGAGAGCATCGCGACGCTCTGGGGCGTCCGGGGAGAGCATCGCGACGCTCTGGGCGTCCGGGAGAGCATCGCGACGCTCTGGGGCGTCCGGGGAGAGCATCGCGACGCTCTGGGGCGTCCGGGGAGAGCATCGCGACGCTCTGGGGCGTCCGGGGAGAGCATCGCGACGCTCTGGGGCGTCCGGGGAGAGCATCGCGACGCTCTGGGGCGTCCGGGAGAGCATCGCGACGCTCTGGGCGTCCGGGGAGAGCATCGCGACGCTCTGGGGCGTCCGGGGGAGCATCGCGACGCTCTGGGGCGTCCGGGAGAGCATCGCGACGCTCTGGGGCGTCCGGGGAGAGCATCGCGACGCTCTGGGGCGTCCGGGAGAGCATCGCGACGCTCTGGGGCGTCCGGGAGAGCATCGCGACGCTCTGGGGCGTCCGGGAGAGCATCGCGACGCTCTGGGGCGTCCGGGGAGAGCATCGCGACGCTCTGGGGCGTCCGGGAGAGCATCGCGACGCTCTGGGGCGTCCGGGAGAGCATCGCGACGCTCTGGGGCGTCCGGGGAGAGCAGCGACGCTCTGGGGCGTCCGGGGAGAGCATCGCGACGCTCTGGGGCGTCCGGGAGAGCATCGCGACGCTCTGGGGCGTCCGGGGAGAGCATCGCGACGCTCTGGGGCGTCCGGGAGAGCATCGCGACGCTCTGGGGCGTCCGGGGAGAGCATCGCGACGCTCTGGGGCGTCCGGGAGAGCATCGCGACGCTCTGGGGCGTCCGGGGAGAGCATCGCGACGCTCTGGGGCGTCCGGGGAGAGCATCGCGACGCTCTGGGGCGTCCGGGGAGAGCATCGCGACGCTCTGGGGCGTCCGGGGAGAGCATCGCGACGCTCTGGGGCGTCCGGGGAGAGCATCGCGACGCTCTGGGGCGTCCGGGGAGAGCATCGCGACGCTCTGGGCGTCCGGGGAGAGCATCGCGACGCTCTGGGGCGTCCGGGGAGAGCATCGCGACGCTCTGGGGGCGTCCGGGGAGAGCATCGCGACGCTCTGGGGCGTCCGGGGAGAGCATCGCGACGCTCTGGGGCGTCCGGGAGAGCATCGCGACGCTCTGGGGCGTCCGGGGAGAGCATCGCGACGCTCTGGGGCGTCCGGGGAGAGCATCGCGACGCTCTGGGGCGTCCGGGAGAGCATCGCGACGCTCTGGGGCGTCGGGGAGAGCATCGCGACGCTCTGGGGCGTCCGGGGGAGCATCGCGACGCTCTGGGGCGTCCGGGGAGAGCATCGCGACGCTCTGGGGCGTCCGGGGAGAGCATCGCGACGCTCTTGGGCGTCCGGGAGAGCATCGCGACGCTCTGGGGCGTCCGGGGAGAGCATCGCGACGCTCTGGGGCGTCCGGAGAGAGCATCGCGACGCTCTGGGGCGTCCGGGAGAGCATCGCGACGCTCTGGGGCGTCCGGGGAGAGCATCGCGACGCTCTGGGGCGTCCGGGGAGAGCATCGCGACGCTCTGGGGCGTCGGGGAGAGCATCGCGACGCTCTGGGGCGTCCGGGAGAGCATCGCGACGCTCTGGGGCGTCCGGGAGAGCATCGCGACGCTCTGGGGCGTCCGGGGAGAGCATCGCGACGCTCTGGGGGCGTCCGGGAGAGCATCGCGACGCTCTGGGGCGGCCGGGGAGGGAGAGCATCGCGACGCTCTGGGGCGTCCGGGAGAGCATCGCGACGCTCTGGGGCGTCCGGGGAGAGCATCGCGACGCTCTGGGGCGTCCGGGGAGAGCATCGCGACGCTCTGGGGCGTCCGGGGAGAGCATCGCGACGCTCTGGGGCGTCCGGGAGAGCATCGCGACGCTCTGGGGCGTCCGGGGAGAGCATCGCGACGCTCTGGGGCGTCCGGGGAGAGCATCGCGACGCTCTGGGGCGTCCGGGGAGAGCATCGCGACGCTCTGGGGCGTCCGGGGAGCATCGCGACGCTCTGGGGCGTCCGGGAGAGCATCGCGACGCTCTGGGGCGTCCGGGAGAGCATCGCGACGCTCTGGGGCGTCCGGGGAGAGCATCGCGACGCTCTGGGGCGTCCGGGGAGAGCATCGCGACGCTCTGGGGCGTCCGGGGAGAGCATCGCGACGCTCTGGGGCGTCCGGGAGAGCATCGCGACGCTCTGGGGCGTCCGGGGAGAGCATCGCGACGCTCTGGGGCGTCCGGGGAGAGCATCGCGACGCTCTGGGGCGTCCGGGGAGAGCATCGCGACGCTCTGGGGCGTCCGGGGAGAGCATCGCGACGCTCTGGGGCGTCCGGGGAGAGCATCGCGACGCTCTGGGGCGTCCGGGGAGAGCATCGCGACGCTCTGGGGCGTCCGGGGAGAGCATCGCGACGCTCTGGGGCGTCCGGGAGAGCATCGCGACGCTCTGGGGCGTCCGGGGAGAGCATCGCGACGCTCTGGGGCGTCCGGGGAGAGCATCGCGACGCTCTGGGGCGTCCGGGGAGAGCATCGCGACGCTCTGGGGCGTCCGGGGAGAGCATCGCGACGCTCTGGGGCGTCCGGGGAGAGCATCGCGACGCTCTGGGGCGTCCGGGGAGAGATCGCGACGCTCTGGGGCGTCCGGGGAGAGCATCGCGACGCTCTGGGGCGTCCGGGAGAGCATCGCGACGCTCTGGGGCGTCCGAGGAGAGCATCGCGACGCTCTGGGGCGTCCGGGAGAGCATCGCGACGCTCTGGGCGTCCGGGGAGAGCATCGCGACGCTCTGGGGCGTCCGGGGAGAGCATCGCGACGCTCTGGGGCGTCCAGGGAGAGCATCGCGACGCTCTGGGGCGTCCGGGGAGAGCATCGCGACGCTCTGGGGCGTCCGGGGAGAGCATCGCGACGCTCTGGGGCGTCCGGGGAGAGCATCGCGACGCTCTGGGGCGTCCGGGGAGAGCATCGCGACGCTCTGGGGCGTCCGGGAGAGCATCGCGACGCTCTGGGGCGTCCGGGGAGAGCATCGCGACGCTCTGGGGCGTCCGGGGAGAGCATCGCGACGCTCTGGGGCGTCCGGGGAGAGCATCGCGACGCTCTGGGGCGTCCGGGGAGAGCATCGCGACGCTCTGGGGCGTCCGGGAGAGCATCGCGACGCTCTGGGGCGTCGGGGAGAGCATCGCGACGCTCTGGGGCGTCCGGGAGAGCATCGCGACGCTCTGGGGCGTCCGGGGAGAGCATCGCGACGCTCTGGGGCGTCCGGGAAGAGCATCGCGACGCTCTGGGGCGTCCGGGGAGAGCATCGCGACGCTCTGGGGCGTCCGGGGAGAGCATCGCGACGCTCTGGGGCGTCCGGGGAGAGCATCGCGACGCTCTGGGGCGTCCGGGAGAGCATCGCGACGCTCTGGGGCGTCCGGGAGAGCATCGCGACGCTCTGGGGCGTCCGGGGAGAGCATCGCGACGCTCTGGGGCGTCCGGGGAGAGCATCGCGACGCTCTGGGGCGTCCGGGGAGAGCATCGCGACGCTCTGGGGCGTCCGGGGAGAGCATCGCGACGCTCTGGGGCGTCCGGGAGAGCATCGCGACGCTCTGGGGCGTCTGGGGAGAGCATCGCGACGCTCTGGGGCGTCCGGGGAGAGCATCGCGACGCTCTGGGGCGTCCGGGGAGAGCATCGCGACGCTCTGGGGCGTCCGGGAGAGCATCGCGACGCTCTGGGGCGTCCGGGGAGAGCATCGCGACGCTCTGGGGCGTCCGGGGAGAGCATCGCGACGCTCTGGGGCGTCCGGGGAGAGCATCGCGACGCTCTGGGGGCGTCCGGGGAGAGCATCGCGACGCTCTGGGGCGTCCGGGGAGAGCATCGCGACGCTCTGGGGCGTCCGGGAGAGCATCGCGACGCTCTGGGGCGTCCGGGGAGAGCATCGCGACGCTCTGGGGCGTCCGGGAAGAGCATCGCGACGCTCTGGGGCGTCCGGGGAGAGCATCGCGACGCTCTGGGGCGTCCGGGGAGAGCATCGCGACGCTCTGGGGCGTCCGGGAGAGCATCGCGACGCTCTGGGGCGTCCGGGGAGAGCATCGCGACGCTCTGGGGCGTCCGGGGAGAGCATCGCGACGCTCTGGGGCGTCCGGGGAGAGCATCGCGACGCTCTGGGGCGTCCGGGGAGAGCATCGCGACGCTCTGGGGCGTCCGGGGAGAGCATCGCGACGCTCTGGGGCGTCCGGGAGAGCATCGCGACGCTCTGGGGCGTCCGGGGAGAGCATCGCGACGCTCTGGGGCGTCCGGGGAGAGCATCGCGACGCTCTGGGGCGTCCGGGGAGAGCATCGCGACGCTCTGGGGCGTCCGGGGAGAGCATCGCGACGCTCTGGGGCGTCCGGGAGAGCATCGCGACGCTCTGGGGCGTCCGGGGAGAGCATCGCGACGCTCTGGGCGTCGGGGAGAGCATCGCGACGCTCTGGGGCGTCCTGGGAGAGCATCGCGACGCTCTGGGGCGTCCGGGGAGAGCATCGCGACGCTCTGGGCGTCCTGGGAGAGCATCGCGACGCTCTGGGGCGTCCGGGGAGAGCATCGCGACGCTCTGGGGCGTCCGGGGAGAGCATCGCGACGCTCTGGGGCGTCTAGGGAGAGCATCGCGACGCTCTGGGGCGTCCGGGGAGAGCATCGCGACGCTCTGGGGCGTCCGGGGAGAGCATCGCGACGCTCTGGGGCGTCCGGGGAGAGCATCGACGCTCTGGGGCGTCCGGGAGAGCATCGCGACGCTCTGGGGCGTCCGGGGAGAGCATCGCGACGCTCTGGGGCGTCCGGGAGAGCATCGCGACGCTCTGGGGCGTCCGGGGAGAGCATCGCGACGCTCTGGGGCGTCCGGGGAGAGCATCGCGACGCTCTGGGGCGTCCGGGGAGAGCATCGCGACGCTCTGGGGCGTCCGGGAAGAGCATCGCGACGCTCTGGGGCGTCCGGGGAGAGCATCGCGACGCTCTGGGGCGTCCTGGGAGAGCATCGCGACGCTCTGGGGCGTCCGGGGAGAGCATCGCGACGCTCTGGGGCGTCCGGGAGAGCATCGCGACGCTCTGGGCGTCCGGGGAGAGCATCGCGACGCTCTGGGGCGTCCGGGGAGAGCATCGCGACGCTCTGGGGCGTCCGGGGAGAGCATCGCGACGCTCTGGGGCGTCCGGGGAGAGCATCGCGACGCTCTGGGGCGTCCGGGGAGAGCATCGCGACGCTCTGGGGCGTCCGGGGAGAGCATCGCGACGCTCTGGCGTCCGGGGAGAGCATCGCGACGCTCTGGGGCGTCCGGGGAGAGCATCGCGACGCTCTGGGGCGTCCGGGGAGAGCATCGCGACGCTCTGGGGCGTCCGGGGAGAGCATCGCGACGCTCTGGGGCGTCCGGGGAGAGCATCGCGACGCTCTGGGGCGCCGGGGAGAGCATCGCGACGCTCTGGGGCGTCCGGGGAGAGCATCGCGACGCTCTGGGGCGTCCGGGGAGAGCATCGCGACGCTCTGGGGCGTCCGGGAGAGCATCGCGACGCTCTGGGGCGTCCGGGGAGAGCATCGCGACGCTCTGGGCGTCCGGGAGAGCATCGCGACGCTCTGGGGCGTCCGGGAGAGCATCGCGACGCTCTGGGGCGTCCGGGGAGAGCATCGCGACGCTCTGGGGCGTCCGGGAGAGCATCGCGACGCTCTGGGGCGTCCGGGGAGAGCATCGCGACGCTCTGGGGCGTCCGGGAAGAGCATCGCGACGCTGGGGCGTCGGGGAGAGCATCGCGACGCTCTGGGGCGTCCGGGGAGAGCATCGCGACGCTCTGGGGCGTCCGGGGAGAGCATCGCGACGCTCTGGGGCGTCCGGGAGAGCATCGCGACGCTCTGGGGCGTCCGGGGAGAGCATCGCGACGCTCTGGGGCGTCCGGGGAGAGCATCGCGACGCTCTGGGGCGTCCGGGGAGAGCATCGCGACGCTCTGGGGCGTCCGGGGAGAGCATCGCGACGCTCTGGGGCGTCCGGGGAGAGCATCGCGACGCTCTGGGGCGTCCGGGGAGAGCATCGCGACGCTCTGGGGCGTCCGGGAGAGCATCGCGGGGGGGGGGGGGTCGACGCTCTGGGGCGTCCGGGGAGAGCATCGCGACGCTCTGGGGTCCGGGGAGAGCATCGCGACGCTCTGGGCGTCCGGGAGAGCATCGCGACGCTCTGGGGCGTCCGGGAGAGCATCGCGACGCTCTGGGGCGTCCGGGGAGAGCATCGCGACGCTCTGGGGCGGCCGGGGAGAGCATCGCGACGCTCTGGGGCGTCCGGGGAGAGCATCGCGACGCTCTGGGGCGTCCGGGAGAGCATCGCGACGCTCTGGGGCGTCCGGGAGAGCATCGCGACGCTCTGGGGCGTCCGGGGAGAGCATCGCGACGCTCTGGGGCGTCCGGGGAGAGCATCGCGACGCTCTGGGGCGTCCGGGAGAGCATCGCGACGCTCTGGGGCGTCCGGGGAGAGCATCGCGACGCTCTGGGGCGTCCGGGAGAGCATCGCGACGCTCTGGGGCGTCCGGGGAGAGCATCGCGACGCTCTGGGGCGTCCGGGAGAGCATCGCGACGCTCTGGGGCGTCCGGGGAGAGCATCGCGACGCTCTGGGGCGTCCGGGGAGAGCATCGCGACGCTCTGGGGCGTCCGGGGAGAGCATCGCGACGCTCTGGGGCGTCCGGGGAGAGCATCGCGACGCTCTGGGGCGTCCGGGGAGAGCATCGCGACGCTCTGGGGCGTCCGGGGAGAGCATCGCGACGCTCTGGGGCGTCCGGGGAGAGCATCGCGACGCTCTGGGGCGTCCGGGGAGAGCATCGCGACGCTCTGGGGCGTCCGGGGAGAGCATCGCGACGCTCTGGGGCGTCCGGGGAGAGCATCGCGACGCTCTGGGGCGTCCGGGGAGAGCATCGCGACGCTCTGGGGCGTCCGGGGAGAGCATCGCGACGCTCTGGGGCGTCCGGGGAGAGCATCGCGACGCTCTGGGGCGTCCGGGGAGAGCATCGCGACGCTCTGGGGCGTCCGGGAGAGAGCATCGCGACGCTCTGGGGCGTCCGGGGAGAGCATCGCGACGCTCTGGGGCGTCCGGGGAGAGCATCGCGACGCTCTGGGGCGTCCGGGAGAGCATCGCGACGCTCTGGGGCGTCCGGGGAGAGCATCGCGACGCTCTGGGGCGTCCGGGGAGAGCATCGCGACGCTCTGGGGCGTCCGGGGAGAGCATCGCGACGCTCTGGGGCGTCCGGGGAGAGCATCGCGACGCTCTGGGGCGTCCGGGGAGAGCATCGCGACGCTCTGGGGCGTCCGGGGAGAGCATCGCGACGCTCTGGGGCGTCCGGGGAGAGCATCGCGACGCTCTGGGGCGTCCGGGGAGAGCATCGCGACGCTCTGGGCGTCCGGGGAGAGCATCGCGACGCTCTGGGGCGTCCGGGAGAGCATCGCGACGCTCTGGGGCGTCCGGGGAGAGCATCGCGACGCTCTGGGGCGTCCTGGGAGAGCATCGCGACGCTCTGGGGCGTCCGGGGAGAGCATCGCGACGCTCTGGGGCGTCCGGGGAGAGCATCGCGACGCTCTGGGGCGTCCGGGAGAGCATCGCGACGCTCTGGGGCGTCCGGGGAGAGCATCGCGACGCTCTGGGGCGTCCGGGGAGAGCATCGCGACGCTCTGGGGCGTCCGGGGAGAGCATCGCGACGCTCTGGGGCGTCCGGGAGAGCATCGCGACGCTCTGGGGCGTCCGGGGAGAGCATCGCGACGCTCTGGGCGTCCGGGGAGAGCATCGCGACGCTCTGGGGCGTCCGGGGAGAGCATCGCGACGCTCTGGGGCGTCCGGGAGAGCATCGCGACGCTCTGGGGCGTCCGGGGAGAGCATCGCGACGCTCTGGGGCGTCCGGGGAGAGCATCGCGACGCTCTGGGGCGTCCGGGGAGAGCATCGCGACGCTCTGGGGCGTCCGGGGAGAGCATCGCGACGCTCTGGGGCGTCCGGGAGAGCATCGCGACGCTCTGGGGCGTCCGGGGAGAGCATCGCGACGCTCTGGGGCGTCGGGGAGAGCATCGCGACGCTCTGGGGCGTCCGGGGAGAGCATCGCGACGCTCTGGGGCGTCCGGGGAGAGCATCGCGACGCTCTGGGGCGTCCGGGGAGAGCATCGCGACGCTCTGGGGCGTCCGGGGAGAGCATCGCGACGCTCTGGGGCGTCCGGGGAGAGCATCGCGACGCTCTGGGGCGTCCGGGAGAGCATCGCGACGCTCTGGGGCGTCCGGGGAGAGCATCGCGACGCTCTGGGGCGTCCGGGAGAGCATCGCGACGCTCTGGGGCGTCCGGGGAGAGCATCGCGACGCTCTGGGGCGTCCGGGGAGAGCATCGCGACGCTCTGGGGCGTCCGGGAGAGCATCGCGACGCTCTGGGGCGTCCGGGGAGAGCATCGCGACGCTCTGGGGCGTCCGGGGAGAGCATCGCGACGCTCTGGGGCGTCCGGGGAGAGCATCGCGACGCTCTGGGGCGTCCGGGGAGAGCATCGCGACGCTCTGGGGCGTCCGGGGAGAGCATCGCGACGCTCTGGGGCGTCCGGGGAGAGCATCGCGACGCTCTGGGGCGTCCGGGGAGAGCATCGCGACGCTCTGGGGCGTCCGGGGAGAGCATCGCGACGCTCTGGGGCGTCCGGGGAGAGCATCGCGACGCTCTGGGGCGTCCGGGAGAGCATCGCGACGCTCTGGGGCGTCCAGGGAGAGCATCGCGACGCTCTGGGGCGTCCGGGGAGAGCATCGCGACGCTCTGGGGCGTCCGGGGAGAGCATCGCGACGCTCTGGGGCGTCCGGGAGAGCATCGCGACGCTCTGGGGCGTCCGGGAGAGCATCGCGACGCTCTGGGGCGTCCGGGGAGAGCATCGCGACGCTCTGGGGCGTCCGGGGAGAGCATCGCGACGCTCTGGGGCGTCCGGGGAGAGCATCGCGACGCTCTGGGGCGTCCGGGGAGAGCATCGCGACGCTCTGGGGCGTCCGGGGAGAGCATCGCGACGCTCTGGGGCGTCCGGGGAGAGCATCGCGACGCTCTGGGGCGTCCGGGGAGAGCATCGCGACGCTCTGGGGCGTCCGGGAGAGCATCGCGACGCTCTGGGGCGTCCGGGGAGAGCATCGCGACGCTCTGGGGCGTCCGGGGAGAGCATCGCGACGCTCTGGGGCGGCCGGGGAGAGCATCGCGACGCTCTCGGGGGTCCGGGGAGAGCATCGCGACGCTCTGGGGCGTCCGGGGAGAGCATCGCGACGCTCTGGGGCGTCCGGGGAGAGCATCGCGATGCTCTGGCTGGGGCGTCCGGGAGAGCATCGCGACGCTCTGGGGCGTCCGGGGAGAGCATCGCGACGCTCTGGGGCGTCCGGGGAGAGCATCGCGACGCTCTGGGGCGTCCGGGGAGAGCATCGCGACGCTCTGGGGCGTCCGGGGAGAGCATCGCGACGCTCTGGGGCGTCCGGGGAGAGCATCGCGACGCTCTGGGGCGTCCGGGGAGAGCATCGCGACGCTCTGGGGCGTCCGGGGAGAGCATCGCGACGCTCTGGGCGGCTCGGGAGAGCATCGCGACGCTCTGGGGCGTCCGGGGAGAGCATCGCGACGCTCTGGGGCGTCCGGGGAGAGCATCGCGACGCTCTGGGGCGTCCGGGGAGAGCATCGCGACGCTCTGGGGCGTCCGGGGAGAGCATCGCGACGCTCTGGGGCGTCCGGGGAGAGCATCGCGACGCTCTGGGGCGTCCGGGGAGAGCATCGCGACGCTCTGGGGCGTCCGGGGAGAGCATCGCGACGCTCTGGGGCGTCCGGGGAGAGCATCGCGACGCTCTGGGGCGTCCGGGGAGAGCATCGCGACGCTCTGGGGCGTCCGGGGAGAGCATCGCGACGCTCTGGGGCGTCCGGGGAGAGCATCGCGACGCTCTGGGGCGTCCGGGGAGAGCATCGCGACGCTCTGGGGCGTCCGGGGAGAGCATCGCGACGCTCTGGGGCGTCCGGGGAGAGCATCGCGACGCTCTGGGGCGTCCGGGGAGAGCATCGCGACGCTCTGGGGCGTCCGGGGAGAGCATCGCGACGCTCTGGGGCGTCCGGGAGAGCATCGCGACGCTCTGGGGCGTCCGGGGAGAGCATCGCGACGCTCTGGGGCGTCCGGGGAGAGCATCGCGACGCTCTGGGGCGTCCGGGAGAGCATCGCGACGCTCTGGGGCGTCCGGGAGAGCATCGCGACGCTCTGGGGCGTCCGGGGAGAGCATCGCGACGCTCTGGGGCGTCCGGGAAGAGCATCGCGACGCTCTGGGGCGTCCGGGAGAGCATCGCGACGCTCTGGGGCGTCCGGGGAGAGCATCGCGACGCTCTGGGGCGTCCGGGGAGAGCATCGCGACGCTCTGGGGCGTCCGGGGAGAGCATCGCGACGCTCTGGGGCGTCCGGGAGAGCATCGCGACGCTCTGGGGCGTCCGGGGAGAGCATCGCGACGCTCTGGGGCGTCCGGGGAGAGCATCGCGACGCTCTGGGGCGTCCGGGGAGAGCATCGCGACGCTCTGGGGCGTCCGGGGAGAGCATCGCGACGCTCTGGGGCGTCCGGGAGAGCATCGCGACGCTCTGGGGCGTCCGGGGAGAGCATCGCGACGCTCTGGGGCGTTGGGGAGAGCATCGCGACGCTCTGGGGCGTCCGGGGAGAGCATCGCGACGCTCTGGGGCGTCCGGGAGAGCATCGCGACGCTCTGGGGCGTCCGGGGAGAGCATCGCGACGCTCTGGGGCGTCCGGGGAGAGCATCGCGACGCTCTGGGGCGTCCGGGGAGAGCATCGCGACGCTCTGGGGCGTCCGGGGAGAGCATCGCGACGCTCTGGGGCGTCCGGGGAGAGCATCGCGACGCTCTGGGGCGTCCGGGGAGAGCATCGCGACGCTCTGGGCGTCCGGGGAGAGCATCGCGACGCTCTGGGGCGTCCGGGAGAGCATCGCGACGCTCTGGGGCGTCCGGGGAGAGCATCGCGACGCTCTGGGGCGTCCGGGAGAGCATCGCGACGCTCTGGGGCGTCCGGGGAGAGCATCGCGACGCTCTGGGGCGTCCGGGGAGAGCATCGCGACGCTCTGGGGCGTCCGGGAGAGCATCGCGACGCTCTGGGGCGTCCGGGGAGAGCATCGCGACGCTCTGGGGCGTCCGGGGAGAGCATCGCGACGGGGGGGGAAGGGGAGGCGACGCTCTGGGGCGTCCGGGGAGAGCATCGCGACGCTCTGGGGCGTCCGGGGAGAGCATCGCGACGCTCTGGGGCGTCGGGGAGAGCATCGCGACGCTCTGGGGCGTCCGGGGAGAGCATCGCGACGCTCTGGGGCGTCCGGGGAGAGCATCGCGACGCTCTGGGGCGTCCGGGGAGAGCATCGCGACGCTCTGGGGCGTCCGGGGAGAGCATCGCGACGCTCTGGGGCGTCCGGGGAGAGCATCGCGACGCTCTGGGGCGTCCGGGGAGAGCATCGCGACGCTCTGGGGCGGCCGGGGAGAGCATCGCGACGCTCTGGGGCGTCCGGGGAGAGCATCGCGACGCTCTGGGGCGTCCGGGGAGAGCATCGCGACGCTCTGGGGCGTCCGGGGAGAGCATCGCGACGCTCTGGGGCGTCCGGGGAGAGCATCGCGACGCTCTGGGGCGTCCGGGGAGAGCATCGCGACGCTCTGGGGCGTCCGGGGAGAGCATCGCGACGCTCTGGGGCGTCCGGGGAGAGCATCGCGACGCTCTGGGGCGTCCGGGGAGAGCATCGCGACGCTCTGGGGCGTCCGGGAGAGCATCGCGACGCTCTGGGGCGTCCGGGGAGAGCATCGCGACGCTCTGGGGCGTCCGGGAGAGCATCGCGACGCTCTGGGCGTCCGGGGAGAGCATCGCGACGCTCTGGGGCGTCCGGGGAGAGCATCGCGACGCTCTGGGGCGTCCGGGGAGAGCATCGCGACGCTCTGGGGCGTCCGGGAGAGCATCGCGACGCTCTGGGGCGTCCGGGAGAGCATCGCGACGCTCTGGGGCGTCCGGGGAGAGCATCGCGACGCTCTGGGGCGTCCGGGGAGAGCATCGCGACGCTCTGGGGCGTCCGGGGAGAGCATCGCGACGCTCTGGGGCGTCCGGGGAGAGCATCGCGACGCTCTGGGGCGTCCGGGGAGAGCATCGCGACGCTCTGGGGCGTCCGGGGAGAGCATCGCGACGCTCTGGGGCGTCCGGGGAGAGCATCGCGACGCTCTGGGGCGTCCGGGGAGAGCATCGCGACGCTCTGGGGCGTCCGGGGAGAGCATCGCGACGCTCTGGGGCGTCCGGGGAGAGCATCGCGACGCTCTGGGGCGTCCGGGGAGAGCATCGCGACGCTCTGGGGCGTCCGGGAAGAGCATCGCGACGCTCTGGGGCGTCCGGGGAGAGCATCGCGACGCTCTGGGGCGTCCGGGGAGAGCATCGCGACGCTCTGGGCGTCCGGGGAGAGCATCGCGACGCTCTGGGGCGTCCGGGGAGAGCATCGCGACGCTCTGGGGCGTCCGGGGAGAGCATCGCGACGCTCTGGGGCGTCCGGGGAGAGCATCGCGACGCTCTGGGGCGTCCGGGGAGAGCATCGCGACGCTCTGGGGCGTCCGGGAGAGCATCGCGACGCTCTGGGGCGTCCGGGGAGAGCATCGCGACGCTCTGGGGCGTCCGGGGAGAGCATCGCGACGCTCTGGGGCGTCCGGGGAGAGCATCGCGACGCTCTGGGGCGTCCGGGGAGAGCATCGCGACGCTCTGGGGCGTCCGGGAGAGCATCGCGACGCTCTGGGGCGTCCGGGGAGAGCATCGCGACGCTCTGGGGCGTCCGGGGAGAGCATCGCGACGCTCTGGGGCGTCCGGGGAGAGCATCGCGACGCTCTGGGGGTCCGGGGAGAGCATCGCGACGCTCTGGGGCGTCCGGGAGAGCATCGCGACGCTCTGGGGCGTCCGGGGAGAGCATCGCGACGCTCTGGGGCGTCCGGGGAGAGCATCGCGACGCTCTGGGGCGTCCGGGGAGAGCATCGCGACGCTCTGGGGCGTCCGGGGAGAGCATCGCGACGCTCTGGGGCGTCCGGGGAGAGCATCGCGACGCTCTGGGGCGTCCGGGGAGAGCATCGCGACGCTCTGGGCGTCCGGGAGAGCATCGCGACGCTCTGGGGCGTCCGGGAGAGCATCGCGACGCTCTGGGGCGTCCGGGGAGAGCATCGCGACGCTCTGGGGCGTCCGGGGAGAGCATCGCGACGCTCTGGGGCGTCCGGGGAGAGCATCGCGACGCTCTGGGCGTCCGGGGAGAGCATCGCGACGCTCTGGGGCGTCCGGGGAGAGCATCGCGATGCTCTGGGGCGTCCGGGAGAGCATCGCGACGCTCTGGGGCGTCCGGGGAGAGCATCGCGACGCTCTGGGGCGTCCGGGGAGAGCATCGCGACGCTCTGGGGCGTCCGGGGAGAGCATCGCGACGCTCTGGGGCGTCCGGGAGAGCATCGCGACGCTCTGGGGCGTCCGGGAGAGCATCGCGACGCTCTGGGGCGTCCGGGGAGAGCATCGCGACGCTCTGGGGCGGCCGGGGAGAGCATCGCGATGCTCTGGGGCGTCGGGGAGAGCATCGCGACGCTCTGGGGCGTCCGGGGAGAGCATCGCGACGCTCTGGGGCGTCCGGGGAGAGCATCGCGACGCTCTGGGGCGTCCGGGGAGAGCATCGCGACGCTCTGGGCGTCCGGGGAGAGCATCGCGACGCTCTGGGGCGTCCGGGGAGAGCATCGCGACGCTCTGGGGCGTCCGGGGAGAGCATCGCGACGCTCTGGGCGTCCGGGGAGAGCATCGCGACGCTCTGGGGCGTCCGGGGAGAGCATCGCGACGCTCTGGGGCGTCCGGGGAGAGCATCGCGACGCTCTGGGGCGTCCGGGGAGAGCATCGCGACGCTCTGGGGCGTCGGGGAGAGCATCGCGACGCTCTGGGGCGTCCGGGAGAGCATCGCGACGCTCTGGGGCGTCCGGGGAGAGCATCGCGACGCTCTGGGGCGTCCGGGAGAGCATCGCGACGCTCTGGGGCGTCCGGGGAGAGCATCGCGACGCTCTGGGGCGTCCGGGAGAGCATCGCGACGCTCTGGGGCGTCCGGGGAGAGCATCGCGACGCTCTGGGGCGTCCGGGGAGAGCATCGCGACGCTCTGGGGCGTCCGGGGAGAGCATCGCGACGCTCTGGGGCGTCCGGGGAGAGCATCGCGACGCTCTGGGGCGTCCGGGGAGAGCATCGCGACGCTCTGGGGCGTCCGGGGAGAGCATCGCGACGCTCTGGGGCGTCCGGGGAGAGCATCGCGACGCTCTGGGGCGTCCGGGGAGAGCATCGCGACGCTCTGGGGCGTCCGGGGAGAGCATCGCGACGCTCTGGGGCGTCCGGGGAGAGCATCGCGACGCTCTGGGGCGTCCGGGGAGAGCATCGCGACGCTCTGGGGCGTCCGGAGAGCATCGCGACGCTCTGGGGCGTCTGGGGAGAGCATCGCGACGCTCTGGGGCGTCCGGGAGAGCATCGCGACGCTCTGGGGCGTCCGGGAGAGCATCGCGACGCTCTGGGGCGTCCGGGGAGAGCATCGCGACGCTCTGGGGCGTCCGGGGAGAGCATCGCGACGCTCTGGGGCGTCCGGGGAGAGCATCGCGACGCTCTGGGGCGTCTGGGGAGAGCATCGCGACGCTCTGGGGCGTCCGGGGAGAGCATCGCGACGCTCTGGGGCGTCCGGGGAGAGCATCGCGACGCTCTGGGGCGTCCGGGGAGAGCATCGCGACGCTCTGGGGCGTCCGGGGAGAGCATCGCGACGCTCTGGGGCGTCCGGGGAGAGCATCGCGACGCTCTGGGGCGTCCGGGGAGCATCGCGACGCTCTGGGGCGTCCGGGGAGAGCATCGCGACGCTCTGGGGCGTCCGGGGAGAGCATCGCGACGCTCTGGGGCGTCCTGGGAGAGCATCGCGACGCTCTGGGGCGTCCGGGGAGAGCATCGCGACGCTCTGGGGCGTCCGGGAGAGCATCGCGACGCTCTGGGGCGTCCGGGAGAGCATCGCGACGCTCTGGGGCGTCCGGGGAGAGCATCGCGACGCTCTGGGGCGTCCGGAAGAGCATCGCGACGCTCTGGGGCGTCCGGGGAGAGCATCGCGACGCTCTGGGGCGTCCTGGGAGAGCATCGCGACGCTCTGGGGCGTCCGGGGAGAGCATCGCGACGCTCTGGGGCGTCCGGGGAGAGCATCGCGACGCTCTGGGGCGTCCGGGGGAGCAGCGCAACGCTCTGGGGCGTCCGGGAGAGCATCGCGACGCTCTGGGGCGTCCGGGGAGAGCATCGCGACGCTCTGGGGCGTCCGGGAGAGCATCGCGACGCTCTGGGGCGCGCGGGGAGAGCATCGCGACGCTCTGGGGCGTCCGGGGAGAGCATCGCGACGCTCTGGGGCGTCCGGGGAGAGCATCGCGACGCTCTGGGGCGTCCGGGGAGAGCATCGCGACGCTCTGGGGCGTCCGGGAGAGCATCGCGACGCTCTGGGGCGTCCGGGGAGAGCATCGCGACGCTCTGGGGCGTCCGGGGAGAGCATCGCGACGCTCTGGGGCGTCCGGGGAGAGCATCGCGACGCTCTGGGGCGTCCGGGAGAGCATCGCGACGCTCTGGGGCGTCCGGGGAGAGCATCGCGACGCTCTGGGGCGTCCGGGGAGAGCATCGCGACGCTCTGGGGCGTCCGGGGAGAGCATCGCGACGCTCTGGGGCGTCCGGGAGAGCATCGCGACGCTCTGGGGCGTCCGGGGAGAGCATCGCGACGCTCTGGGGCGTCCGGGGAGAGCATCGCGACGCTCTGGGGCGTCCGGGGAGAGCATCGCGACGCTCTGGGGCGTCCGGGGAGAGCATCGCGACGCTCTGGGGCGTCCGGGAGAGCATCGCGACGCTCTGGGGCGTCCGGGGAGAGCATCGCGACGCTCTGGGGCGTCCGGGGAGAGCATCGCGACGCTCTGGGGCGTCCGGGGAGAGCATCGCGACGCTCTGGGGCGTCCGGGGAGAGCATCGCGACGCTCTGGGGCGTCCGGGGAGAGCATCGCGACGCTCTGGGGCGTCCGGGGAGAGCATCGCGACGCTCTGGGGCGTCCGGGAGAGCATCGCGACGCTCTGGGGCGTCCGGGGAGAGCATCGCGACGCTCTGGGGCGTCCGGGTAGAGCATCGCGACGCTCTGGGGCGTCCGGGGAGAGCATCGCGACGCTCTGGGGCGTCCGGGGAGAGCATCGCGACGCTCTGGGGCGTCCGGGGAGAGCATCGCGACGCTCTGGGCGTCCGGGGAGAGCATCGCGACGCTCTGGGGCGTCCGGGGAGAGCATCGCGACGCTCTGGGGCGTCCGGGAGAGCATCGCGACGCTCTGGGGCGTCCGGGGAGAGCATCGCGACGCTCTGGGGCGTCCGGGGAGAGCATCGCGACGCTCTGGGGCGTCCGGGGAGAGCATCGCGACGCTCTGGGGCGTCGGGGAGAGCATCGCGACGCTCTGGGGCGTCCGGGGAGAGCATCGCGACGCTCTGGGGCGTCCGGGGAGAGCATCGCGACGGGGGGGGGGGGCGACGCTCTGGGGCGTCCGGGGAGAGCATCGCGATGCTCTGGGGCGTCCGGGGAGAGCATCGCGACGCTCTGGGGCGTCCGGGGAGAGCATCGCGACGCTCTGGGGCGTCCGGGGAGAGCATCGCGACGCTCTGGGGCGTCCGGGGAGAGCATCGCGACGCTCTGGGGCGTCCGGAGAGAGCATCGCGACGCTCTGGGGCGGCTGGGGAGAGCATCGCGACGCTCTGAGGCGTCCGGGGAGAGCATCGCGACGCTCTGGGGCGTCCGGGGAGAGCATCGCGACGCTCTGGGGCGTCCGGGGAGAGCATCGCGACGCTCTGGGCGTCCGGGAGAGCATCGCGACGCTCTGGGGCGTCCGGGGAGAGCATCGCGACGCTCTGGGGCGTCCGGGGAGAGCATCGCGACGCTCTGGGGCGTCCGGGGAGAGCATCGCGACGCTCTGGGGCGTCCGGGGAGAGCATCGCGACGCTCTGGGGCGTCCGGGGAGAGCATCGCGATGCTCTGGGGCGTCCGGGGAGAGCATCGCGACGCTCTGGGGCGTCCGGGGAGAGCATCGCGACGCTCTGGGGCGTCCGGGGAGAGCATCGCGACGCTCTGGGGCGTCCGGGGAGAGCATCGCGACGCTCTGGGGCGTCCGGGGAGAGCATCGCGACGCTCTGGGGCGTCCGGGGAGAGCATCGCGACGCTCTGGGGCGTCCGGGGAGAGCATCGCGACGCTCTGGGGCGTCCGGGAGAGCATCGCGACGCTCTGGGGCGTCCGGGGAGAGCATCGCGACGCTCTGGGGCGTCCGGGGAGAGCATCGCGACGCTCTGGGGCGTCCGGGGAGAGCATCGCGACGCTCTGGGGCGTCCGGGGAGAGCATCGCGACGCTCTGGGGCGTCCGGGGAGAGCATCGCGACGCTCTGGGGCGTCCGGGAGAGCATCGCGACGCTCTGGGGCGTCGGGGAGAGCATCGCGACGCTCTGGGGCGTCCGGGGAGAGCATCGCGACGCTCTGGGGCGTCCGGGGAGAGCATCGCGACGCTCTGGGGCGTCCGGGGAGAGCATCGCGACGCTCTGGGGCGTCCGGGAGAGCATCGCGACGCTCTGGGGCGTCCGGGGAGAGCATCGCGACGCTCTGGGGCGTCCGGGGAGAGCATCGCGACGCTCTGGGGCGTCCGGGGAGAGCATCGCGACGCTCTGGGGTCCGGGGAGAGCATCGCGACGCTCTGGGGCGTCCGGGGAAGCATCGCGACGCTCTGGGGCGTCCGGGGAGAGCATCGCGACGCTCTGGGGCGTCCGGGAGAGCATCGCGACGCTCTGGGGCGTCCGGGAGAGCATCGCGACGCTCTGGGCGTCCGGGGAGAGCATCGCGACGCTCTGGGGCGTCCGGGGAGAGCATCGCGACGCTCTGGGGCGTCCGGGGAGAGCATCGCGACGCTCTGGGGCGTCCGGGGAGAGCATCGCGACGCTCTGGGGCGTCCGGGAGAGCATCGCGACGCTCTGGGGCGTCCGGGGAGAGCATCGCGACGCTCTGGGGCGTCCGGGGAGAGCATCGCGACGCTCTGGGCGTCCGGGGAGCATCGCGACGCTCTGGGGCGTCCGGGGAGAGCATCGCGACGCTCTGGGGCGTCCGGGAGAGCATCGCGACGCTCTGGGGCGTCCGGGGAGAGCATCGCGACGCTCTGGGGCGTCCGGGAGAGCATCGCGACGCTCTGGGGCGTCCGGAGAGCATCGCGACGCTCTGGGGCGTCCGGGGAGAGCATCGCGACGCTCTGGGGCGTCCGGGGAGAGCATCGCGACGCTCTGGGGCGTCCGGGGAGAGCATCGCGACGCTCTGGGGCGTCCGGGGAGAGCATCGCGACGCTCTGGGGCGTCCGGGGAGAGCATCGCGACGCTCTGGGGCGTCCGGGGAGAGCATCGCGACGCTCTGGGGCGTCCGGGGAGAGCATCGCGACGCTCTGGGGCGTCCGGGAGAGCATCGCGACGCTCTGGGGCGTCCGGGGAGAGCATCGCGACGCTCTGGGGCGTCCGGGGAGAGCATCGCGACGCTCTGGGGCGTCCGGGAGAGCATCGCGATGCTCTGGGGGCGTCCGGGGAGAGCATCGCGACGCTCTGGGGCGTCCGGGTGAGCATCGCGACGCTCTGGGGCGTCCGGGGAGAGCATCGCGACGCTCTGGGGCGTCCGGGGAGAGCATCGCGACGCTCTGGGGCGTCCGGGGAGAGCATCGCGACGCTCTGGGGCGTCCGGGGAGAGCATCGCGACGCTCTGGGGCGTCCGGGGAGAGCATCGCGACGCTCTGGGGCGTCCGGGGAGAGCATCGCGACGCTCTGGGGCGTCCGGGGAGAGCATCGCGACGCTCTGGGGCGTCCGGGGAGAGCATCGCGACGCTCTGGGGCGTCCGGGGAGAGCATCGCGACGCTCTGGGGCGTCCGGGAGAGCATCGCGACGCTCTGGGGCGTCCGGGGAGAGCATCGCGACGCTCTGGGGCGTCCGGGGAGAGCATCGCGACGCTCTGGGGCGTCCGGGGAGAGCATCGCGACGCTCTGGGGGTGGGGCGTCCGGGGAGAGCATCGCGACGCTCTGGGGCGTCCGGGAGAGCATCGCGACGCTCTGGGGCGTCCGGGGAAGCATCGCGACGCTCTGGGGCGTCCGGGAGAGCATCGCGACGCTCTGGGGCGTCCGGGAGAGCATCGCGACGCTCTGGGGCGTCCGGGAGAGCATCGCGACGCTCTGGGGCGTCCGGGGAGAGCATCGCGACGCTCTGGGGCGTCCGGGGAGAGCATCGCGACGCTCTGGGGCGTCCGGGGAGAGCATCGCGACGCTCTGGGGCGTCCGGGGAGAGCATCGCGACGCTCTGGGGCGTCCGGGAGAGCATCGCGACGCTCTGGGGCGTCCGGGGAGAGCATCGCGACGCTCTGGGGCGTCCGGGGAGAGCATCGCGACGCTCTGGGGCGTCCGGGGAGAGCATCGCGACGCTCTGGGGCGTCCGGGGAGCATCGCGACGCTCTGGGGCGTCCGGGGAGAGCATCGCGACGTGCTCTGGGGCGTCCGGGGAGAGCATCGCGACGCTCTGGGGCGTCCGGGGAGAGCATCGCGACGCTCTGGGGCGTCCGGGGAGAGCATCGCGACGCTCTGGGGCCCGGGGCGGGGAAGCATCGCGACGCTCTGGGGCGTCCGGGGAGAGCATCGCGACGCTCTGGGGCGTCCGGGGAGAGCATCGCGACGCTCTGGGGCGTCCGGGGAGAGCATCGCGACGCTCTGGGGCGGCGTGGGGAGAGCATCGCGACGCTCTGGGGCGTCCGGGGAGAGCATCGCGACGCTCTGGGGCGTCCGGGGAGAGCATCGCGACGCTCTGGGGCGTCCGGGGAGAGCATCGCGACGCTCTGGGGCGTCCGGGAGAGCATCGCGACGCTCTGGGGCGTCCGGGGAGAGCATCGCGACGCTCTGGGGCGTCCGGGGAGAGCATCGCGACGCTCTGGGGCGTCCGGGGAGAGCATCGCGACGCTCTGGGGCGTCCGGGGAGAGCATCCCGACGCTCTGGGGCGTCCGGGGAGAGCATCGCGACGCTCTGGGGCGTCTGGGGGAGCATCGCGTGCTCTGGGGCGTCCGGGGAGAGCATCGCGACGCTCTGGGGCGTCCGGGGAGAGCATCGCGACGCTCTGGGCGTCCGGGAGAGCATCGCGACGCTCTGGGGCGTCCGGGGAGAGCATCGCGACGCTCTGGGCGTCCGGGAGAGCATCGCGACGCTCTGGGGCGTCCGGGGAGAGCATCGCGACGCTCTGGGGCGTCCGGGAGAGAGCATCGCGACGCTCTGGGGCGTCCGGGGAGAGCATCGCGACGCTCTGGGGCGTCCGGGGAGAGCATCGCGACGCTCTGGGGCGTCCGGGGAGAGCATCGCGACGCTCTGGGGCGTCCGGGGAGAGCATCGCGACGCTCTGGGGCGTCCGGGGAGAGCATCGCGACGCTCTGGGGCGTCCGGGGAGAGCATCGCGACGCTCTGGGGCGTCCGGGGAGAGCATCGCGACGCTCTGGGGCGTCCGGGGAGAGCATCGCGACGCTCTGGGGCGTCCGGGGAGAGCATCGCGACGCTCTGGGGCGTCCGGGAGAGCATCGCGACGCTCTGGGGCGTCCGGGGAGAGCATCGCGACGCTCTGGGGCGTCCGGGGAGAGCATCGCGACGCTCTGGGGCGTCCGGGAGAGCATCGCGACGCTCTGGGGCGTCCGGGGAGAGCATCGCGACGCTCTGGGGCGTCGGGGGAGAGCATCGCGACGCTCTGGGGCGTCCGGGAGAGCATCGCGACGCTCTGGGGCGTCCGGGGAGAGCATCGCGACGCTCTGGGGCGTCCGGGGAGAGCATCGCGACGCTCTGGGGCGTCCGGGGAGAGCATCGCGACGCTCTGGGGCGTCCGGGAGAGCATCGCGACGCTCTGGGGCGTCCGGGGAGAGCATCGCGACGCTCTGGGGCGTCCGGGAGAGCATCGCGACGCTCTGGGGCGTCCGGGAGAGCATCGCGACGCTCTGGGGCGTCCGGGGAGAGCATCGCGACGCTCTGGGGCGTCCGGGAGAGCATCGCGACGCTCTGGGGCGTCCGGGGAGAGCATCGCGACGCTCTGGGGCGTCCGGGGAGAGCATCGCGACGCTCTGGGGCGTCCGGGGAGAGCATCGCGACGCTCTGGGCGTCCGGGGAGCATCGCGACGCTCTGGGGCGTCCGGGGAGAGCATCGCGACGCTCTGGGGCGTCCGGGGAGAGCATCGCGACGCTCTGGGGCGTCCGGGAGAGCATCGCGACGCTCTGGGGCGTCCGGGGAGAGCATCGCGACGCTCTGGGGCGTCCGGGGAGAGCATCGCGACGCTCTGGGGCGTCCGGGGAGAGCATCGCGACGCTCTGGGGCGTCCGGGGGAGCATCGCGACGCTCTGGGGCGTCCGGGGAGAGCATCGCGACGCTCTGGGGCGTCCGGGGAGAGCATCGCGACGCTCTGGGGCGTCCGGGGAGAGCATCGCGACGCTCTGGGGCGTCCGGGGAGAGCATCGCGACGCTCTGGGGCGTCCGGGGAGAGCATCGCGACGCTCTGGGGCGTCCGGGGAGCATCGCGACGCTCTGGGGCGTCCGGGGAGAGCATCGCGACGCTCTGGGCGTCCGGGGAGAGCATCGCGACGCTCTGGGGCGTCCGGGGAGAGCATCGCGACGCTCTGGGGCGTCCGGGGAGAGCATCGCGACGCTCTGGGGCGTCCGGGGAGAGCATCGCGACGCTCTGGGGCGTCCGGGGAGAGCATCGCGACGCTCTGGGGCGTCCGGGGAGAGCATCGCGACGCTCTGGGGCGTCCGGGAGAGCATCGCGACGCTCTGGGGCGTCCGGGGAGAGCATCGCGACGCTCTGGGGCGTCCGGGAGAGCATCGCGACGCTCTGGGGCGTCCGGGGAGAGCATCGCGACGCTCTGGGGCGTCCGGGGAGAGCATCGCGACGCTCTGGGGCGTCCGGGAGAGCATCGCGACGCTCTGGGGGTCGTCGGGGAGAGCATCGCGACGCTCTGGGGCGTCCGGGGAGAGCATCGCGACGCTCTGGGGCGTCCGGGAGAGCATCGCGACGCTCTGGGGCGTCCGGGAGAGCATCGCGACGCTCTGGGGCGTCCGGGGAGAGCATCGCGACGCTCTGGGGCGTCCGGGGAGAGCATCGCGACGCTCTGGGGCGTCCGGGGAGAGCATCGCGACGCTCTGGGGCGGCCGGGGAGAGCATCGCGACGCTCTGGGGCGTCCGGGAGAGCATCGCGACGCTCTGGGGCGTCCGGGGAGAGCATCGCGACGCTCTGGGGCGTCCGGGGAGAGCATCGCGACGCTCTGGGGCGTCCGGGGAGAGCATCGCGACGCTCTGGGGCGTCCGGGGAGAGCATCGCGACGCTCTGGGGCGTCCGGGAGAGCATCGCGACGCTCTGGGGCGTCCGGGGAGAGCATCGCGACGCTCTGGGGCGTCCGGGAGAGCATCGCGACGCTCTGGGGCGTCCGGGGAGAGCATCGCGACGCTCTGGGGCGTCCGGGGGAGCATCGCGACGCTCTGGGGCGTCCGGGAGAGCATCGCGACGCTCTGGGGCGTCCGGGGAGAGCATCGCGACGCTCTGGGGCGTCCGGGGAGAGCATCGCGACGCTCTGGGGCGTCCGGGGAGAGCATCGCGATGCTCTGGGGCGTCCGGGAGAGCATCGCGACGCTCTGGGCGTCCGGGGAGAGCATCGCGACGCTCTGGGGCTGGGGAGAGCATCGCGATGCTCTGGGGCGTCCGGGGAGAGCATCGCGACGCTCTGGGGCGTCCGGGGAGAGCATCGCGACGCTCTGGGGCGTCCGGGGAGAGCATCGCGACGCTCTGGGGCGTCCGGGGAGAGCATCGCGACGCTCTGGGGCGTCCGGGGAGAGCATCGCGACGCTCTGGGGCGTCCGGGGAGAGCATCGCGACGCTCTGGGGCGTCCGGGGAGAGCATCGCGACGCTCTGGGGCGTCCGGGGAGAGCATCGCGACGCTCTGGGGCGTCCGGGGAGCATCGCGACGCTCTGGGGCGTCCGGGGAGAGCATCGCGACGCTCTGGGGCGTCCGGGGAGAGCATCGCGACGCTCTGGGGCGTCCGGGGAGAGCATCGCGACGCTCTGGGGCGTCCGGGGAGAGCATCGCGACGCTCTGGGGCGTCCAGGGAGAGCATCGCGACGCTCTGGGGCGTCCGGGGAGAGCATCGCGACGCTCTGGGGCGTCCGGGAGAGCATCGCGACGCTCTGGGGCGTCCGGGAGAGCATCGCGACGCTCTGGGGCGTCCGGGGAGAGCATCGCGACGCTCTGGGGCGTCCGGGAGAGCATCGCGACGCTCTGGGGCGTCCGGGGAGAGCATCGCGACGCTCTGGGGCGTCCGGGAGAGCATCGCGACGCTCTGGGGCGTCCGGGAGAGCATCGCGACGCTCTGGGGCGTCCGGGGAGAGCATCGCGACGCTCTGGGGCGTCCGGGGAGAGCATCGCGACGCTCTGGGGCGTCCGGGGAGAGCATCGCGACGCTCTGGGGCGTCCGGGGAGAGCATCGCGACGCTCTGGGGCGTCCGGGGAGAGCATCGCGACGCTCTGGGGCGTCCGGGGAGAGCATCGCGACGCTCTGGGGCGTCCGGGGAGAGCATCGCGACGCTCTGGGGCGTCCGGGGAGAGCATCGCGACGCTCTGGGGCGTCCGGGGAGAGCATCGCGACGCTCTGGGGCGTCCGGGGAGAGCATCGCGACGCTCTGGGGCGTCCGGGAGAGCATCGCGACGCTCTGGGGCGTCCGGGGAGAGCATCGCGACGCTCTGGGGCGTCCGGGGAGAATCGCGACGCTCTGGGGCGTCCGGGGAGAGCATCGCGACGCTCTGGGGCGTCCGGGAGAGCATCGCGACGCTCTGGGGCGTCCGGGGAGAGCATCGCGACGCTCTGGGGCGTCCGGGGAGAGCATCGCGACGCTCTGGGGCGTCCGGGGAGAGCATCGCGACGCTCTGGGGCGTCCAGGGAGAGCATCGCGACGCTCTGGGGCGTCCGGGGAGAGCATCGCGACGCTCTGGGGCGTCCGGGAGAGCATCGCGACGCTCTGGGGCGTCCGGGGAGAGCATCGCGACGCTCTGGGGCGTCCGGGGAGAGCATCGCGACGCTCTGGGGCGTTCGGGAGAGCATCGCGACGCTCTGGGGCGTCCGGGGAGAGCATCGCGACGCTCTGGGGCGTCCGGGGAGAGCATCGCGACGCTCTGGGGCGTCCGGGGAGAGCATCGCGACGCTCTGGGGCGTCCGGGGAGAGCATCGCGACGCTCTGGGGCGTCCGAGGAGAGCATCGCGACGCTCTGGGGCGTCCGGGGAGAGCATCGCGACGCTCTGGGGCGTCCGGGGAGAGCATCGCGACGCTCTGGGGCGTCCGGGGAGAGCATCGCGACGCTCTGGGGCGTCCGGGGAGAGCATCGCGATGCTCTGGGGCGTCCGGGGAGAGCATCGCGACGCTCTGGGGCGTCCGGGATGAGCATCGCGACGCTCTGGGGCGTCCGGGGAGAGCATCGCGACGCTCTGGGGCGTCCGGGAGAGCATCGCGACGCTCTGGGGCGTCCGGGGAGAGCATCGCGACGCTCTGGGGCGTCCGGGGAGAGCATCGCGACGCTCTGGGGCGTCCGGGGAGAGCATCGCGACGCTCTGGGGCGTCCAGGGAGAGCATCGCGACGCTCTGGGGCGTCCGGGGAGAGCATCGCGACGCTCTGGGGCGTCCGGGGAGAGCATCGCGACGCTCTGGGGCGTCCGGGGAGAGCATCGCGACGCTCTGGGGCGTCCGGGGAGAGCATCGCGACGCTCTGGGGCGTCCGGGAGAGCATCGCGACGCTCTGGGGCGTCCGGGGAGAGCATCGCGACGCTCTGGGGCGTCCGGGAGAGCATCGCGACGCTCTGGGGCGTCCGGGGAGAGCATCGCGACGCTCTGGGGCGTCCGGGAGAGCATCGCGACGCTCTGGGGCGTCCGGGGAGAGCATCGCGACGCTCTGGGCGTCCGGGGAGAGCATCGCGACGCTCTGGGCGTCCGGGGAGAGCATCGCGACGCTCTGGGGCGTCCGGGGAGAGCATCGCGACGCTCTGGGCGTCCGGGGAGAGCATCGCGACGCTCTGGGGCGTCCGGGGAGAGCATCGCGACGCTCTGGGGCGTCCGGGGAGAGCATCGCGACGCTCTGGGGCGTCCGGGGAGAGCATCGCGACGCTCTGGGGCGTCCGGGGAGAGCATCGCGACGCTCTGGGGCGTCCGGGGAGAGCATCGCGACGCTCTGGGGCGTCCGGGGAGAGCATCGCGACGCTCTGGGGCGTCCGGGGAGAGCATCGCGACGCTCTGGGGCGTCCGGGGAGAGCATCGCGACGCTCTGGGGCGTCCGGGGAGAGCATCGCGACGCTCTGGGGCGTCCGGGGAGAGCATCGCGACGCTCTGGGGCGTCCGGGGAGAGCATCGCGACGCTCTGGGGCGTCCGGGGAGAGCATCGCGACGCTCTGGGCGTCCGGGGAGAGCATCGCGACGCTCTGGGGCGTCCGGGGAGAGCATCGCGACGCTCTGGGGCGTCCGGGGAGAGCATCGCGACGCTCTGGGGCGTCCGGGGAGAGCATCGCGACGCTCTGGGGCGTCCGGGAGAGCATCGCGACGCTCTGGGGCGTCCGGGGAGAGCATCGCGACGCTCTGGGGCGTCCGGGGAGAGCATCGCGACGCTCTGGGGCGTCCGGGGAGAGCATCGCGACGCTCTGGGGCGTCCGGGGAGCATCGCGACGCTCTGGGGCGTCCGGGGAGAGCATCGCGACGCTCTGGGGCGTCCGGGGAGAGCATCGCGACGCTCTGGGGCGTCCGGGGAGAGCATCGCGACGCTCTGGGGCGTCCGGGGAGAGCATCGCGACGCTCTGGGCGTCCGGGAGAGCATCGCGACGCTCTGGGGCGTCCGGGGAGAGCATCGCGACGCTCTGGGGCGTCCGGGGAGAGCATCGCGACGCTCTGGGCGTCCGGAGAGAGCATCGCGACGCTCTGGGGCGTCCGGGGAGAGCATCGCGACGCTCTGGGGCGTCCGGGGAGAGCATCGCGACGCTCTGGGGCGTCCGGGGAGAGCATCGCGACGCTCTGGGGCGTCCGGGGAGAGCATCGCGACGCTCTGGGGCGTCCGGGGAGAGCATCGCGACGCTCTGGGGCGTCCGAGGAGAGCATCGCGACGCTCTGGGGCGTCCGGGGAGAGCATCGCGACGCTCTGGGGCGTCCGGGAGAGCATCGCGACGCTCTGGGGCGTCCGGGGAGAGCATCGCGACGCTCTGGGGCGTCCGGGGAGAGCATCGCGACGCTCTGGGGCGTCCGGGGAGAGCATCGCGACGCTCTGGGGCGTCCGGGGAGAGCATCGCGACGCTCTGGGGCGTCCGGGAGAGCATCGCGACGCTCTGGGGCGTCCGGGGAGAGCATCGCGACGCTCTGGGGCGTCCGGGGAGAGCATCGCGACGCTCTGGGGCGTCCGGGGAGAGCATCGCGACGCTCTGGGCGTCCGGGGGAGCATCGCGACGCTCTGGGGCGTCCGGGAGAGCATCGCGACGCTCTGGGGCGTCCGGGAGAGCATCGCGACGCTCTGGGGCGTCCGGGGAGAGCATCGCGACGCTCTGGGGCGTCCGGGGAGAGCATCGCGACGCTCTGGGGCGTCCGGGGAGAGCATCGCGACGCTCTGGGGCGTCCGGGGAGAGCATCGCGACGCTCTGGGGCGTCCGGGGAGAGCATCGCGACGCTCTGGGGCGTCCGGGGAGAGCATCGCACGCTCTGGGGCGTCCGGGAGAGCATCGCGACGCTCTGGGGCCCGGGAGAGCATCGCGACGCTCTGGGGCGTCCGGGAGAGCATCGCGACGCTCTGGGGCGTCCGGGGAGAGCATCGCGACGCTCTGGGGCGTCCGGGGAGAGCATCGCGACGCTCTGGGGGCCGGGAGAGCATCGCGACGCTCTGGGGCGTCCGGGAGAGCATCGCGACGCTCTGGGGCGTCCGGGGAGAGCATCGCGACGCTCTGGGGCGTCCGGGAGAGCATCGCGACGCTCTGGGGCGTCCGGGGAGAGCATCGCGACGCTCTGGGGCGTCCGGGGAGAGCATCGCGACGCTCTGGGGCGTCCGGGGAGAGCATCGCGACGCTCTGGGGCGTCCGGGGAGAGCATCGCGACGCTCTGGGGCGTCCGGGAGAGCATCGCGACGCTCTGGGGCGTCCGGGGAGAGCATCGCGACGCTCTGGGGCGTCCGGGAGAGCATCGCGACGCTCTGGGGCGTCCGGGGAGAGCATCGCGACGCTCTGGGCGTCCGGGGAGAGCATCGCGACGCTCTGGGGCGTCCGGGGAGAGCATCGCGACGCTCTGGGGCGTCCGGGGAGAGCATCGCGACGCTCTGGGGCGTCCGGGAGAGCATCGCGACGCTCTGGGGCGTCCGGGGAGAGCATCGCGACGCTCTGGGGCGTCCGGGGAGAGCATCGCGACGCTCTGGGGCGTCCGGGGAGAGCATCGCGACGCTCTGGGGCGTCCGGGGAGAGCATCGCGACGCTCTGGGGCGTCCGTGGAGAGCATCGCGACGCTCTGGGGCGTCCGAGGGAGCATCGCGACGCTCTGGGGCGTCTCGGGGAGAGCATCGCGACGCTCTGGGCGTCCGGGGAGAGCATCCGCGACGCTCTGGGGCGTCCGGGAGAGCATCGCGACGCTCTGGGGCGTCCGGGGAAGCATCGCGACGCTCTGGGGCGTCCGGGAGAGCATCGCGATGCTCTGGGGCGTCCGTGGAGAGCATCGCGACGCTCTGGGGCGTCCGGGGAGAGCATCGCGACGCTCTGGGGCGTCCGGAGAGCATCGCGACGCTCTGGGGCGTCCGGGGAGAGCATCGCGATGCTCTGGGGCGTCCGGGAGAGCATCGCGACGCTCTGGGGCGTCCGGGGAGAGCATCGCGACGCTCTGGGGCGTCCGGGGAGAGCATCGCGACGCTCTGGGGCGTCCGGGTGAGCATCGCGACGCTCTGGGGCGCTGGGGAGAGCATCGCGACGCTCTGGGGCGTCCGGGAGAGCATCGCGACGCTCTGGGGCGTCCGGGGAGAGCATCGCGACGCTCTGGGGCGTCCGGGGAGAGCATCGCGACGCTCTGGGGCGTCCGGGGAGAGCATCGCGACGCTCTGGGGCGTCCGGGGAGAGCATCGCGACGCTCTGGGGCGTCCGGGAGAGCATCGCGACGCTCTGGGCGTCCGGGGAGAGCATCGCGACGCTCTGGGGCGTCCGGGAGAGCATCGCGACGCTCTGGGGCGTCGGGGAGAGCATCGCGACGCTCTGGGGCGTCCGGGGAGAGCATCGCGACGCTCTGGGGCGTCCGGGGAGAGCATCGCGACGCTCTGGGGCGTCCGGGGAGCATCGCGACGCTCTGGGGCGTCCGGGGAGAGCATCGCGACGCTCTGGGCGTCCGGGGAGAGCATCGCGACGCTCTGGGGCGTCCGGGGAGAGCATCGCGACGCTCTGGGGCGTCCGGGGAGAGCATCGCGACGCTCTGGGGCGTCTGGGGAGAGCATCGCGACGCTCTGGGGCGTCCGGGGAGAGCATCGCGACGCTCTGGGGCGTCCGGGAGAGCATCGCGACGCTCTGGGGCGTCCGGGGAGAGCATCGCGACGCTCTGGGCGTCCGGGAGAGCATCGCGACGCTCTGGGGCGTCCGGGGGAGAGCATCGCGACGCTCTGGGGCGTCCGGGGAGAGCATCGCGACGCTCTGGGGCGTCCGGGGAGAGCATCGCGACGCTCTGGGGCGTCCGGGAGAGCATCGCGACGCTCTGGGGCGTCCGGGAGAGCATCGCGACGCTCTGGGGCGTCCGGGAGAGCATCGCGACGCTCTGGGGCGTCCGGGAGAGCATCGCGACGCTCTGGGGCGTCCGGGGAGAGCATCGCGACGCTCTGGGCGTCCGGGGAGAGCATCGCGACGCTCTGGGGCGTCCGGGGAGAGCATCGCGACGCTCTGGGGCGTCCGGGAGAGCATCGCGACGCTCTGGGGCGTCCGGGGAGAGCATCGCGACGCTCTGGGGCGTCCGGGAGAGCATCGCGACGCTCTGGGGCGTCCGGGAGAGCATCGCGACGCTCTGGGGCGTCGGGGAGAGCATCGCGACGCTCTGGGGCGTCCGGGGAGAGCATCGCGACGCTCTGGGCGTCCGGGAGAGCATCGCGACGCTCTGGGGCGTCCGGGGAGAGCATCGCGACGCTCTGGGGCGTCCGGGGAGAGCATCGCGACGCTCTGGGGCGTCCGGGGAGAGCATCGCGACGCTCTGGGGCGTCCGGGGAGAGCATCGCGACGCTCTGGGGCGTCCGGGAGAGCATCGCGACGCTCTGGGGCGTCCGGGAGAGCATCGCGACGCTCTGGGGCGTCCGGGGAGAGCATCGCGACGCTCTGGGGCGTCCGGGGAGAGCATCGACGCTCTGGGGCGTCCGGGGAGAGCATCGCGACGCTCTGGGGCGTCCGGGGAGAGCATCGCGACGCTCTGGGGCGTCCGGGGAGAGCATCGCGACGCTCTGGGGCGTCCGGGGAGAGCATCGCGACGCTCTGGGGCGTCCGGGGAGAGCATCGCGACGCTCTGGGGCGTCCGGGGAGAGCATCGCGACGCTCTGGGGCGTCCGGGAGAGCATCGCGACGCTCTGGGGCGTCCGGGGAGAGCATCGCGACGCTCTGGGCGTCCGGGGAGAGCATCGCGACGCTCTGGGGCGTCCGGGGAGAGCATCGCGACGCTCTGGGGCGTCCGGGGAGAGCATCGCGACGCTCTGGGGCGTCCGGGGAGAGCATCGCGACGCTCTGGGGCGTCCGGGGAGAGCATCGCGACGCTCTGGGGCGTCCGGGGAGAGCATCGCGACGCTCTGGGGCGTCCGGGGAGAGCATCGCGACGCTCTGGGGCGTCCGGGGAGAGCATCGCGACGCTCTGGGGCGTCCGGGGAGAGCATCGCGACGCTCTGGGGCGTCCGGGGAGAGCATCGCGACGCTCTGGGGCGTCCGGGAGAGCATCGCGACGCTCTGGGGCGTCCGGGGAGAGCATCGCGACGCTCTGGGGCGTCCGGGGAGAGCATCGCGACGCTCTGGGGCGTCCGGGGAGAGCATCGCGACGCTCTGGGGCGTCCGGGAGAGCATCGCGACGCTCTGGGGCGTCCGGGGAGAGCATCGCGACGCTCTGGGGCGTCCGGGAGAGCATCGCGACGCTCTGGGGCGTCCGGGGAGAGCATCGCGACGCTCTGGGGCGTCCGGGGAGCATCGCGACGCTCTGGGGCGTCCGGGGAGAGCATCGCGACGCTCTGGGGCGTCCGGGAGAGCATCGCGACGCTCTGGGGCGTCCGGGGAGAGCATCGCGACGCTCTGGGGCGTCCGGGAGAGCATCGCGACGCTCTGGGGCGTCCGGGAGAGCATCGCGACGCTCTGGGGCGTCCGGGAGAGCATCGCGACGCTCTGGGGCGTCCGGGGAGAGCATCGCGACGCTCTGGGGCGTCCGGGGAGAGCATCGCGACGCTCTGGGGGCGTCCGGGGAGAGCATCGCGACGCTCTGGGGCGTCCGGGAGAGCATCGCGACGCTCTGGGGCGTCCGGGGAGAGCATCGCGACGCTCTGGGGCGTCCGGGGAGAGCATCGCGACGCTCTGGGCGTCCGGGAGAGCATCGCGACGCTCTGGGGCGTCCGGGGAGAGCATCGCGACGCTCTGGGGCGTCCGGGAGAGCATCGACGCTCTGGGGCGTCGGGGAGAGCATCGCGACGCTCTGGGGCGTCCGGGGAGAGCATCGCGACGCTCTGGGGCGTCCGGGGAGAGCATCGCGACGCTCTGGGGCGTCCGGGGAGAGCATCGCGACGCTCTGGGGCGTCCGGGGAGAGCATCGCGACGCTCTGGGGCGTCCGGGGAGAGCATCGCGACGCTCTGGGGCGTCCGGGGAGAGCATCGCGACGCTCTGGGGCGTCCGGGAGAGCATCGCGACGCTCTGGGGGCGTCCGGGGAGAGCATCGCGACGCTCTGGGGCGTCCGGGGAGAGCATCGCGACGCTCTGGGGCGTCCGGGGAGAGCATCGCGACGCTCTGGGGCGTCCGGGGAGAGCATCGCGACGCTCTGGGCGTCCGGGGAGAGCATCGCGACGCTCTGGGGCGTCCGGGGAGAGCATCGCGACGCTCTGGGGCGTCCGGGGAGAGCATCGCGACGCTCTGGGGCGTCCGGGGAGAGCATCGCGACGCTCTGGGGCGTCCGGGGAGAGCATCGCGACGCTCTGGGGCGTCCGGGGAGAGCATCGCGACGCTCTGGGGCGTCCGGGGAGAGCATCGCGACGCTCTGGGGCGTCCGGGGAGAGCATCGCGACGCTCTGGGGCGTCCGGGGAGAGCATCGCGACGCTCTGGGGCGTCCGGGGAGAGCATCGCGACGCTCTGGGGCGTCCGGAGAGCATCATCGCGACGCTCTGGGGCGTCCGGGGAGAGCATCGCGACGCTCTGGGGCGTCCGGGGAGAGCATCGCGACGCTCTGGGGCGTCCGGGGAGAGCATCGCGACGCTCTGGGGCGTCCGGGGAGAGCATCGCGACGCTCTGGGGCGTCCGGGGAGAGCATCGCGACGCTCTGGGGCGTCCGGGAGAGCATCGCGACGCTCTGGGGCGTCCGGGGAGCATCGCGACGCTCTGGGGCGTCCGGGGAGAGCATCGCGACGCTCTGGGGCGTCCGGGGAGCATCGCGACGCTCTGGGGCGTCCGGGGAGAGCATCGCGACGCTCTGGGGCGTCCGGGGAGAGCATCGCGACGCTCTGGGGCGTCCGGGGAGAGCATCGCGACGCTCTGGGGCGTCCGGGAGAGCATCGCGACGCTCTGGGGCGTCCGGGGAGAGCATCGCGACGCTCTGGGGCGTCCGGGGAGAGCATCGCGACGCTCTGGGCGTCCGGGGAGAGCATCGCGACGCTCTGGGGCGTCCGGGGAGAGCATCGCGACGCTCTGGGGCGTCCGGGGAGAGCATCGCGACGCTCTGGGGCGTCCGGGGAGAGCATCGCGACGCTCTGGGGCGTCCGGGAGAGCATCGCGACGCTCTGGGGCGTCCGGGGAGAGCATCGCGACGCTCTGGGGCGTCCGGGGAGAGCATCGCGACGCTCTGGGGCGTCCGGGGAGAGCATCGCGACGCTCTGGGGCGTCCGGGAGAGCATCGCGACGCTCTGGGGCGTCCGGGGAGAGCATCGCGACGCTCTGGGGCGTCCGGGGAGAGCATCGCGACGCTCTGGGGCGTCCGGGGAGAGCATCGCGACGCTCTGGGGCGTCCGGGGAGAGCATCGCGACGCTCTGGGGCGTCCGGGGAGAGCATCGCGACGCTCTGGGGCGTCCGGGGAGAGCATCGCGACGCTCTGGGGCGTCCGGGGAGAGCATCGCGACGCTCTGGGGCGTCCGGGGAGAGCATCGCGACGCTCTGGGGCGTCCGGGGAGAGCATCGCGACGCTCTGGGGCGTCCGGGGAGAGCATCGCGACGCTCTGGGGCGTCCGGGGAGAGCATCGCGACGCTCTGGGGCGTCCGGGGAGAGCATCGCGACGCTCTGGGCGTCCGGGGAGAGCATCGCGACGCTCTGGGGCGTCCGGGGAGAGCATCGCGACGCTCTGGGGCGTCCGGGAGAGCATCGCGACGCTCTGGGGCGTCCGGGAGAGCATCGCGACGCTCTGGGGCGTCCGGGGAGAGCATCGCGACGCTCTGGGGCGTCCTGGGGAGAGCATCGCGACGCTCTGGGGCGTCCGGGGAGAGCATCGCGACGCTCTGGGGCGTCCGGGGAGAGCATCGCGACGCTCTGGGGCGTCCGGGGAGAGCATCGCGACGCTCTGGGGCGTCCGGGGAGAGCATCGCGACGCTCTGGGGCGTCCGGGAGAGCATCGCGACGCTCTGGGGCGTCCGGGGAGAGCATCGCGACGCTCTGGGGCGTCCGGGGAGAGCATCGCGACGCTCTGGGGCGTCCGGGGAGAGCATCGCGACGCTCTGGGGCGTCCGGGGAGAGCATCGCGACGCTCTGGGGCGTCCGGGGAGAGCATCGCGACGCTCTGGGGCGTCCGGGGAGAGCATCGCGACGCTCTGGGGCGTCCGGGGAGAGCATCGCGACGCTCTGGGGCGTCCGGGGAGAGCATCGCGACGCTCTGGGGCGTCCGGGAGAGCATCGCGACGCTCTGGGGCGTCCGGGGAGAGCATCGCGACGCTCTGGGGCGTCCGGGAGAGCATCGCGACGCTCTGGGGCGTCCGGGGAGAGCATCGCGACGCTCTGGGGCGTCCGGGGAGAGCATCGCGACGCTCTGGGGCGTCCGGGGAGAGCATCGCGACGCTCTGGGGCGTCCGGGAGAGCATCGCGACGCTCTGGGGCGTCCGGGAGAGCATCGCGACGCTCTGGGGCGTCCGGGGAGAGCATCGCGACGCTCTGGGGCGTCCGGGGAGAGCATCGCGACGCTCTGGGGCGTCCGGGAGAGCATCGCGACGCTCTGGGGCGTCCGGGGAGAGCATCGCGACGCTCTGGGGCGTCCGGGGAGAGCATCGCGACGCTCTGGGGCGTCCGGGGAGAGCATCGCGACGCTCTGGGGCGTCCGGGGAGAGCATCGCGACGCTCTGGGGCGTCCGGGGAGAGCATCGCGACGCTCTGGGGCGTCCGGGGAGAGCATCGCGACGCTCTGGGGCGTCCGGGGAGAGCATCGCGACGCTCTGGGGCGTCCGGGAGAGCATCGCGACGCTCTGGGGCGTCCGGGGAGAGCATCGCGACGCTCTGGGGCGTCCGGGGAGAGCATCGCGACGCTCTGGGGCGTCCGGGGAGAGCATCGCGACGCTCTGGGGCGTCCGGGAGAGCATCGCGACGCTCTGGGGCGTCCGGGGAGAGCATCGCGACGCTCTGGGGCGTCCGGGGAGAGCATCGCGACGCTCTGGGGCGTCCGGGGAGAGCATCGCGACGCTCTGGGGCGTCCGGGGAGAGCATCGCGACGCTCTGGGGCGTCCGGGGAGAGCATCGCGACGCTCTGGGGCGTCCGGGAGAGCATCGCGACGCTCTGGGGCGTCCGGGGAGAGCATCGCGACGCTCTGGGGCGTCCGGGAGAGCATCGCGACGCTCTGGGGCGTCCGGGGAGAGCATCGCGACGCTCTGGGGCGTCCTGGGGAGAGCATCGCGACGCTCTGGGGCGTCCGGGGAGAGCATCGCGACGCTCTGGGGCGTCCGGGGAGAGCATCGCGACGCTCTGGGGCGTCCGGGGAGAGCATCGCGACGCTCTGGGGCGTCCGGGGAGAGCATCGCGACGCTCTGGGGCGTCCGGGGAGAGCATCGCGACGCTCTGGGGCGTCCGGGGAGAGCATCGCGACGCTCTGGGGCGTCCGGGAGAGCATCGCGACGCTCTGGGGCGTCCGGGAGAGCATCGCGACGCTCTGGGGCGTCCGGGAGAGCATCGCGACGCTCTGGGGCGTCCGGGAGAGCATCGCGACGCTCTGGGGCGTCCGGGGAGAGCATCGCGACGCTCTGGGGCGTCCGGGGAGAGCATCGCGACGCTCTGGGGCGTCCGGGGAGAGCATCGCGACGCTCTGGGGCGTCCGGGAGAGCATCGCGACGCTCTGGGCGTCCGGGGAGAGCATCGCGACGCTCTGGGGCGTCCGGGGAGAGCATCGCGACGCTCTGGGGCGTCCGGGAGAGCATCGCGACGCTCTGGGGCGTCCGGGGAGAGCATCGCGACGCTCTGGGGCGTCCGGGGAGAGCATCGCGACGCTCTGGGGCGTCCGGGGAGAGCATCGCGACGCTCTGGGGCGTCCGGGGAGAGCATCGCGACGCTCTGGGGCGTCCGGGAGAGCATCGCGACGCTCTGGGCGTCCGGGGAGAGCATCGCGACGCTCTGGGGCGTCCGGGAGAGCATCGCGACGCTCTGGGGCGTCCGGGGAGAGCATCGCGACGCTCTGGGGCGTCCGGGGAGAGCATCGCGACGCTCTGGGGCGTCCGGGGAGAGCATCGCGACGCTCTGGGGCGTCCGGGAGAGCATCGCGACGCTCTGGGGCGTCCGGGGAGAGCATCGCGACGCTCTGGGGCGTCCGGGGAGAGCATCGCGACGCTCTGGGGCGGCCGGGGAGAGCATCGCGACGCTCTGGGGCGTCCGGGGAGAGCATCGCGACGCTCTGGGGCGTCGGGGAGAGCATCGCGACGCTCTGGGGCGTCCGGGGAGAGCATCGCGACGCTCTGGGGCGTCCGGGGAGAGCATCGCGACGCTCTGGGGCGTCCGGGAGAGCATCGCGACGCTCTGGGGCGTCCGGGGAGAGCATCGCGACGCTCTGGGGCGTCCGGGGAGAGCATCGCGACGCTCTGGGGCGTCCGGGGAGAGCATCGCGACGCTCTGGGGCGTCCGGGGAGCATCGCGACGCTCTGGGGCGTCCGGGGAGAGCATCGCGACGCTCTGGGGCGTCCGGGGAGAGCATCGCGACGCTCTGGGGCGTCCGGGGAGAGCATCGCGACGCTCTGGGGCGTCCGGGGAGAGCATCGCGACGCTCTGGGTCGGCTGGGGAGAGCATCGCGACGCTCTGGGGCGTCCGGGAGAGCATCGCGACGCTCTGGGGCGTCCGGGGAGAGCATCGCGACGCTCTGGGGCGTCCGGGAGAGCATCGCGACGCTCTGGGGCGTCCGGGGAGAGCATCGCGACGCTCTGGGGCGTCCGGGGAGAGCATCGCGACGCTCTGGGGCGTCCGGGGAGAGCATCGCGACGCTCTGGGGCGTCCGGGGAGAGCATCGCGACGCTCTGGGGCGTCCGGGGAGAGCATCGCGACGCTCTGGGGCGTCCGGGGAGAGCATCGCGACGCTCTGGGGCGTCCGGGGAGAGCATCGCGACGCTCTGGGGGGCGTCCGGGGAGAGCATCGCGACGCTCTGGGGCGTCCGGGGAGAGCATCGCGACGCTCTGGGGCGTCCGGGGAGAGCATCGCGACGCTCTGGGGCGTCGGGGAGAGCATCGCGACGCTCTGGGGCGTCCGGGAGAGCATCGCGACGCTCTGGGGCGTCCGGGGAGAGCATCGCGACGCTCTGGGGCGTCCGGGAGAGCATCGCGACGCTCTGGGGCGTCCGGGGAGAGCATCGCGACGCTCTGGGGCGTCCGGGGAGAGCATCGCGACGCTCTGGGGCGTCCGGGGAGAGCATCGCGACGCTCTGGGGCGTCCGGGGAGAGCATCGCGACGCTCTGGGGCGTCCGGGGAGAGCATCGCGACGCTCTGGGGGGCGTCCGGGAGAGCATCGCGACGCTCTGGGCGTCCGGGGAGAGCATCGCGACGCTCTGGGGCGTCCGGGGAGAGCATCGCGACGCTCTGGGGCGTCCGGGGAGAGCATCGCGACGCTCTGGGGCGTCCGGGGAGAGCATCGCGACGCTCTGGGGCGTCCGGGAGAGCATCGCGACGCTCTGGGGCGTCCGGGGAGAGCATCGCGACGCTCTGGGGCGTCCGGGGAGAGCATCGCGACGCTCTGGGGCGTCCGGGGAGAGCATCGCGACGCTCTGGGGCGTCCGGGGAGAGCATCGCGACGCTCTGGGGCGTCCGGGAGAGCATCGCGACGCTCTGGGGCGTCCTGGGAGAGCATCGCGACGCTCTGGGGCGTCCGGGGAGAGCATCGCGACGCTCTGGGGCGTCCGGGGAGAGCATCGCGACGCTCTGGGGCGTCCGGGAGAGCATCGCGACGCTCTGGGGCGTCCGGGAGAGCATCGCGACGCTCTGGGGCGTCGGGGAGAGCATCGCGACGCTCTGGGGGCGTCCGGGGAGAGCATCGCGACGCTCTGGGGCGTCCGGGGAGAGCATCGCGACGCTCTGGGGCGTCCGGGGAGAGCATCGCGACGCTCTGGGGGTCGTCCGGGAGAGCATCGCGACGCTCTGGGGCGTCCGGGTAGAGCATCGCGACGCTCTGGGGCGTCGGGGAGAGCATCGCGACGCTCTGGGGCGTCCGGGGAGAGCATCGCGACGCTCTGGGGCGTCCGGGAGAGCATCGCGACGCTCTGGGGCGTCCGGGGAGAGCATCGCGACGCTCTGGGGCGTCCGGGGAGAGCATCGCGACGCTCTGGGGCGTCCGGGGAGAGCATCGCGACGCTCTGGGGCGTCCGGGGAGAGCATCGCGACGCTCTGGGGCGTCCGGGGAGAGCATCGCGACGCTCTGGGGCGTCCGGGAGAGCATCGCGACGCTCTGGGGCGTCGGGGAGAGCATCGCGACGCTCTGGGGCGTCCGGGGAGAGCATCGCGACGCTCTGGGGCGTCCGGGGAGAGCATCGCGACGCTCTGGGGCGTCCGGGAGAGCATCGCGACGCTCTGGGGCGTCGGGGAGAGCATCGCGACGCTCTGGGCGTCCGGGGAGAGCATCGCGACGCTCTGGGGCGTCCGGGGAGAGCATCGCGACGCTCTGGGGCGTCCGGGGAGAGCATCGCGACGCTCTGGGGCGTCCGGGGAGAGCATCGCGACGCTCTGGGGCGTCCGGGGAGAGCATCGCGACGCTCTGGGGCGTCCGGGGAGAGCATCGCGACGCTCTGGGGGGTCGTCGGGGAGAGCATCGCGACGCTCTGGGGCGTCCGGGGAGAGCATCGCGACGCTCTGGGGCGTCCGGGGAGAGCATCGCGACGCTCTGGGGCGTCCGGGGAGAGCATCGCGACGCTCTGGGGCGTCCGGGGAGAGCATCGCGACGCTCTGGGCGTCCGGGGAGAGCATCGCGACGCTCTGGGGCGTCCGGGGAGAGCATCGCGACGCTCTGGGGCGTCCGGGGAGAGCATCGCGACGCTCTGGGGCGTCCGGGGAGAGCATCGCGACGCTCTGGGGCGTCCGGGGAGAGCATCGCGACGCTCTGGGGCGTCCGGGGAGAGCATCGCGACGCTCTGGGGCGTCCGGGGAGAGCATCGCGACGCTCTGGGGCGTCCGGGGAGAGCATCGCGACGCTCTGGGGCGTCCGGGGAGAGCATCGCGACGCTCTGGGGCGTCCGGGGAGAGCATCGCGACGCTCTGGGGCGTCCGGGGAGAGCATCGCGACGCTCTGGGGCGTCCGGGGAAGAGCATCGCGACGCTCTGGGGCGTCCGGGGAGAGCATCGCGACGCTCTGGGGCGTCCGGGGAGAGCATCGCGACGCTCTGGGGCGTCCGGGGAGAGCATCGCGACGCTCTGGGGCGTCCGGGAGAGCATCGCGACGCTCTGGGGCGTCCGGGGAGAGCATCGCGACGCTCTGGGGCGTCCGGGGAGAGCATCGCGACGCTCTGGGGCGTCCGGGGAGAGCATCGCGACGCTCTGGGGCGTCCGGGGAGAGCATCGCGACGCTCTGGGGCGTCCGGGGAGAGCATCGCGACGCTCTGGGGCGTCCGGGGAGAGCATCGCGACGCTCTGGGGCGTCCGGGAGAGCATCGCGACGCTCTGGGGCGTCCGGGGAGAGCATCGCGACGCTCTGGGGCGTCCGGGAGAGCATCGCGACGCTCTGGGGCGCGTCCGGGGAGAGCATCGCGACGCTCTGGGGCGTCCGGGGAGAGCATCGCGACGCTCTGGGGCGTCCGGGGAGAGCATCGCGACGCTCTGGGGCGTCCGGGGAGAGCATCGCGACGCTCTGGGGCGTCCGGGGAGAGCATCGCGACGCTCTGGGGCGTCCGGGAGAGCATCGCGACGCTCTGGGGCGTCCGGGGAGAGCATCGCGACGCTCTGGGGCGTCCGGGGAGAGCATCGCGACGCTCTGGGGCGTCCGGGGAGAGCATCGCGACGCTCTGGGGCGTCCGGGGAGAGCATCGCGACGCTCTGGGGCGTCCGGGGAGAGCATCGCGACGCTCTGGGGCGTCCGGGGAGAGCATCGCGACGCTCTGGGGCGTCCGGGGAGAGCATCGCGACGCTCTGGGGCGTCCGGGGAGAGCATCGCGACGCTCTGGGGCGTCCGGGGAGAGCATCGCGACGCTCTGGGGCGTCCGGAGAGCATCGCGACGCTCTGGGGCGTCCGGGGAGAGCATCGCGACGCTCTGGGGCGTCCGGGGAGAGCATCGCGACGCTCTGGGGCGTCCGGGGAGAGCATCGCGACGCTCTGGGGCGTCCGGGGGAGCATCGCGACGCTCTGGGGCGTCCGGAGAGAGCATCGCGACCTCTCTGGGGCGTCCGGGGAGAGCATCGCGACGCTCTGGGGCGTCCGGGGAGAGCATCGCGACGCTCTGGGGCGTCCGGGGAGAGCATCGCAACGCTCTGGGGCGTCCGGGGAGAGCATCGCGACGCTCTGGGGCGTCCGGGGAGAGCATCGCGACGCTCTGGGGCGTCCGGGAGAGCATCGCGACGCTCTGGGGCGTCCGGGGAGAGCATCGCGACGCTCTGGGGCGTCCGGGGAGAGCATCGCGACGCTCTGGGGCGTCCGGGGAGAGCATCGCGACGCTCTGGGGCGTCCGGGGAGAGCATCGCGACGCTCTGGGGCGTCCGGGGAGAGCATCGCGACGCTCTGGGGCGTCCGGGGAGAGCATCGCGACGCTCTGGGGCGTCCGGGGAGAGCATCGCGACGCTCTGGGGCGTCCGGGGAGAGCATCGCGACGCTCTGGGGCGTCCGGGGAGAGCATCGCGACGCTCTGGGGCGTCCGGGGAGAGCATCGCGACGCTCTGGGGGCGTCCGGGGAGAGCATCGCGACGCTCTGGGGCGTCCGGGGAGAGCATCGCGACGCTCTGGGGCGTCCGGGGAGAGCATCGCGACGCTCTGGGGCGTCCGGGAGAGCATCGCGACGCTCTGGGGCGTCCGGGGAGAGCATCGCGACGCTCTGGGGGGGCCGGGGAGAGCATCGCGACGCTCTGGGGCGTCGGGTGAGGGGAGAGCACGACGGGAGAGGGGAATGAGGAGTCGAGGCGAAGCTTGGACGTCCGGGGAGCGTCCGGACGCTCGGGGCGCCGGGGAGAGCATCGCGACGCTGGGTGTCCGCTTAGAGCATCGCGGGGCTCCGGGGCGCTGGGGAGAGCATCGGGCGCTCGGGGCTCCGAGGAGCGACGCGATCTCGGGCGTCGGGAGAGCATCGCGATATTGGGGCGCTCGAGAGCGCTGTCGGGAGGCTCAGGTAGTTGCGGAGCGAGATGCGCGGGGGGGGAGTCCGGGAGAGCATCGCGCCCTGGGGCGTCCGGGGAGAGCATCGCGACGCTCTGGGGCGTCCGGGGAGAGCATCGCGACGCTCTGGGGCGTCCGGGAGAGCATCGCGACGCTCTGGGGCGTCCGGGGAGAGCATCGCGACGCTCTGGGGCGTCCGGGGAGAGCATCGCGACGCTCTGGGGTGGGGCGTCCGGGGAGAGCATCGCGACGCTCTGGGGCGTCCGGGGAGAGCATCGCGACGCTCTGGGGCGTCCGGGGAGAGCATCGCGACGCTCTGGGGCGTCCGGGGAGAGCATCGCGACGCTCTGGGGCGTCCGGGGAGAGCATCGCGACGCTCTGGGGCGTCCGGGGAGAGCATCGCGACGCTCTGGGCGTCCGGAGAGCATCGCGACGCTCTGGGGCGTCCGGGGGAGCATCGCGACGCTCTGGGGCGTCCGGGGAGAGCATCGCGACGCTCTGGGCGGGGCGTCCGGGAGAGCATCGCGCGCTCTGGGGCGTCCGGGGAGAGCATCGCGACGCTCTGGGGCGTCCGGGGAGAGCATCGCGACGCTCTGGGGCGTCCGGGGAGAGCATCGCGACGCTCTGGGGCGTCCGGGAGAGCATCGCGACGCTCTGGGGCGTCCGGGGAGAGCATCGCGACGCTCTGGGGCGTCCGGGGAGAGCATCGCGACGCTCTGGGGCGTCCGGGGAGAGCATCGCGACGCTCTGGGGCGTCCGGGGAGAGCATCGCGACGCTCTGGGGCGTCCGGGGAGAGCATCGCGACGCTCTGGGGCGTCCGGGGAGAGCATCGCGACGCTCTGGGGCGTCCGGGGAGAGCATCGCGACGCTCTGGGGCGTCCGGGGAGAGCATCGCGACGCTCTGGGCGTCCGGGGAGAGCATCGCGACGCTCTGGGGCGTCCGGGGAGAGCATCGCGACGCTCTGGGGCGTCCGGGAGAGCATCGCGACGCTCTGGGGCGTCCGGGGAGAGCATCGCGACGCTCTGGGGCGTCCGGGAGAGCATCGCGACGCTCTGGGGCGTCCGGGGAGAGCATCGCGACGCTCTGGGGCGTCCGGGGAGAGCATCGCGACGCTCTGGGGCGTCCGGGAGAGCATCGCGACGCTCTGGGGCGTCCGGGGAGAGCATCGCGACGCTCTGGGGCGTCCGGGGAGAGCATCGCGACGCTCTGGGGCGTCCGGGAGAGCATCGCGACGCTCTGGGGCGTCCGGGAGAGCATCGCGACGCTCTGGGGCGTCCGGGGAGAGCATCGCGACGCTCTGGGGCGTCCGGGGAGAGCATCGCGACGCTCTGGGGCGTCCGGGGAGAGCATCGCGACGCTCTGGGGCGTCCGGGGAGAGCATCGCGACGCTCTGGGGCGTCCGGGAGAGCATCGCGACGCTCTGGGGCGTCCGGGAGAGCATCGCGACGCTCTGGGGCGTCCGGGGAGAGCATCGCGACGCTCTGGGGCGTCCGGGAGAGCATCGCGACGCTCTGGGGCGTCCGGGGAGAGCATCGCGACGCTCTGGGGCGTCCGGGGAGAGCATCGCGACGCTCTGGGGCGTCCGGGGAGAGCATCGCGACGCTCTGGGGCGTCCGGGAGAGCATCGCGACGCTCTGGGGCGTCCGGGGAGAGCATCGCGACGCTCTGGGGCGTCCGGGAGGAGCATCGCGACGCTCTGGGGCGTCCGGGGAGAGCATCGCGACGCTCTGGGGCGTCCGGGAGAGCATCGCGACGCTCTGGGGCGTCCGGGAGAGCATCGCGACGCTCTGGGGCGTCCGGGGAGAGCATCGCGACGCTCTGGGGCGTCCGGGGAGAGCATCGCGACGCTCTGGGGCGTCCGGGGAGAGCATCGCGACGCTCTGGGGCGTCCGGGGAGAGCATCGCGACGCTCTGGGGCGTCCGGGGAGAGCATCGCGACGCTCTGGGGCGTCCGGGGAGAGCATCGCGACGCTCTGGGGCGCCGGGGGAGAGCATCGCGACGCTCTGGGGGGCCGGGGAGAGCATCGCGACGCTCTGGGGCGTCCGGGAGAGCATCGCGACGCTCTGGGGCGTCCGGGGAGAGCATCGCGACGCTCTGGGGCGTCCGGGGAGAGCATCGCGACGCTCTGGGGCGTCCGGGAGAGCATCGCGACGCTCTGGGGCGTCCGGGGAGAGCATCGCGACGCTCTGGGGCGTCCGGGGAGAGCATCGCGACGCTCTGGGGCGTCCGGGGAGAGCATCGCGACGCTCTGGGGCGTCCGGGGAGCATCGCGACGCTCTGGGGCGTCCGGGGAGAGCATCGCGACGCTCTGGGGCGTCCGGGGAGAGCATCGCGACGCTCTGGGGCGTCCGGGGAGAGCATCGCGACGCTCTGGGGCGTCCGGGGAGAGCATCGCGACGCTCTGGGCGTCCGGGGAGAGCATCGCGACGCTCTGGGGCGTCCGGGGAGAGCATCGCGACGCTCTGGGGCGTCCGGGGAGAGCATCGCGACGCTCTGGGGCGTCCGGGGAGAGCATCGCGACGCTCTGGGGCGTCCGGGGAGAGCATCGCGACGCTCTGGGGCGTCCGGGAGAGCATCGCGACGCTCTGGGGCGTCCGGGGAGAGCATCGCGACGCTCTGGGGCGTCCGGGGAGAGCATCGCGACGCTCTGGGGCGTCCGGGAGAGCATCGCGACGCTCTGGGGCGTCCGGGGAGAGCATCGCGACGCTCTGGGGCGTCCGGGGAGAGCATCGCGACGCTCTGGGGCGTCCGGGGAGAGCATCGCGACGCTCTGGGGCGTCCGGGAGAGCATCGCGACGCTCTGGGGCGTCCGGGGAGAGCATCGCGACGCTCTGGGGCGTCCGGGGAGAGCATCGCGACGCTCTGGGGCGTCCGGGGAGAGCATCGCGACGCTCTGGGGCGTCCGGGGAGAGCATCGCGACGCTCTGGGGCGTCCGGGGAGAGCATCGCGACGCTCTGGGGCGTCCGGGGAGAGCATCGCGACGCTCTGGGGCGTCCGGGGAGAGCATCGCGACGCTCTGGGGCGTCCGGGGAGAGCATCGCGACGCTCTGGGGCGTCCGGGGAGAGCATCGCGACGCTCTGGGGCGTCCGGGGAGAGCATCGCGACGCTCTGGGGCGTCCGGGGAGAGCATCGCGACGCTCTGGGGCGTCCGGGGAGAGCATCGCGACGCTCTGGGGCGTCCGGGGAGAGCATCGCGACGCTCTGGGCGTCCGGGGAGAGCATCGCGACGCTCTGGGGCGTCCGGGGAGAGCATCGCGACGCTCTGGGGCGTCCGGGGAGAGCATCGCGACGCTCTGGGGCGTCCGGGAGAGCATCGCGACGCTCTGGGGCGTCCGGGGAGAGCATCGCGACGCTCTGGGGCGTCCGGGGAGAGCATCGCGACGCTCTGGGGCGTCCGGGGAGAGCATCGCGACGCTCTGGGGCGTCCGGGGAGAGCATCGCGACGCTCTGGGGCGTCCGGGGAGAGCATCGCGACGCTCTGGGGCGTCCGGGGAGAGCATCGCGACGCTCTGGGGCGTCCGGGGAGAGCATCGCGACGCTCTGGGGCGTCCGGGGAGAGCATCGCGACGCTCTGGGGCGTCCGGGAGAGCATCGCGACGCTCTGGGGCGTCCGGGAGCATCGCGACGCTCTGGGGCGTCCGGGGAGAGCATCGCGACGCTCTGGGGCGTCCGGGGAGAGCATCGCGACGCTCTGGGGCGTCCGGGGAGCATCGCGACGCTCTGGGGCGTCCGGGGAGAGCATCGCGATGCTCTGGGGCGTCCGGGGAGAGCATCGCGACGCTCTGGGGGCGTCCGGGAGAGCATCGCGACGCTCTGGGGCGTCCGGGGAGAGCATCGCGACGCTCTGGGGCGTCCGGGGAGAGCATCGCGACGCTCTGGGGCGTCCGGGGAGAGCATCGCGATGCTCTGGGGCGTCCGGGGAGAGCATCGCGACGCTCTGGGGCGTCCGGGAGAGCATCGCGACGCTCTGGGGCGTCCGGGGAGAGCATCGCGACGCTCTGGGGCGTCCGGGAGAGCATCGCGACGCTCTGGGGCGTCCGGGGAGAGCATCGCGACGCTCTGGGGCGTCCGGGGAGAGCATCGCGACGCTCTGGGGCGTCCGGGGAGAGCATCGCGACGCTCTGGGGCGTCCGGGGAGAGCATCGCGACGCTCTGGGGCGTCCGGGAGAGCATCGCGACGCTCTGGGGCGTTGGGGAGAGCATCGCGACGCTCTGGGGCGTCCGGGGAGAGCATCGCGACGCTCTGGGGCGTCCGGGGAGAGCATCGCGACGCTCTGGGGCGTCCGGGGAGAGCATCGCGACGCTCTGGGGCGTCCGGGGAGAGCATCGCGACGCTCTGGGGCGTCCGGGAGAGCATCGCGACGCTCTGGGGCGTCCGGGGAGAGCATCGCGACGCTCTGGGGCGTCCGGGGAGAGCATCGCGACGCTCTGGGGCGTCCGGGGAGAGCATCGCGACGCTCTGGGGCGTCCGGGGAGAGCATCGCGACGCTCTGGGGCGTCCGGGGAGAGCATCGCGACGCTCTGGGGCGTCCGGGAGAGCATCGCGACGCTCTGGGGCGTCCGGGGAGAGCATCGCGACGCTCTGGGGCGTCCGGGAGAGCATCGCGACGCTCTGGGGCGTCCGGGAGAGCATCGCGACGCTCTGGGGCGTCCGGGGAGAGCATCGCGACGCTCTGGGGCGTCCGGGGAGAGCATCGCGACGCTCTGGGGCGTCCGGGGAGAGCATCGCGACGCTCTGGGGCGTCCGGGAGAGCATCGCGACGCTCTGGGGCGTCCGGGGAGAGCATCGCGACGCTCTGGGGCGTCCGGGGAGAGCATCGCGACGCTCTGGGGCGTCCGGGAGAGCATCGCGACGCTCTGGGGCGTCCGGGGAGAGCATCGCGACGCTCTGGGGCGTCTGGGGAGAGCATCGCGACGCTCTGGGGCGTCCGGGGAGAGCATCGCGACGCTCTGGGGCGTCCGGGAGAGCATCGCGACGCTCTGGGGCGTCCGGGGAGAGCATCGCGACGCTCTGGGGCGTCCGGGAGAGCATCGCGACGCTCTGGGGCGTCCGGGAGAGCATCGCGACGCTCTGGGGCGTCCGGGAGAGCATCGCGACGCTCTGGGGCGTCCGGGAGAGCATCGCGACGCTCTGGGGCGTCCGGGGAGAGCATCGCGACGCTCTGGGGCGTCCGGGGAGAGCATCGCGACGCTCTGGGGCGTCCGGGGAGAGCATCGCGACGCTCTGGGGCGTCCGGGGAGAGCATCGGGGGGGAGGGGCGACGCTCTGGGGCGTCCGGGGAGAGCATCGCGACGCTCTGGGGCGTCCGGGAGAGCATCGCGACGCTCTGGGGCGTCCGGGGAGAGCATCGCGACGCTCTGGGGCGTCCGGGGAGAGCATCGCGACGCTCTGGGGCGTCCGGGGAGAGCATCGCGACGCTCTGGGGCGTCCGGGGAGAGCATCGCGACGCTCTGGGGCGTCCGGGGAGAGCATCGCGGGGGGGGGGGGGCGACGCTCTGGGGCGTCCGGGGAGAGCATCGCGACGCTCTGGGGCGTCCGGGAGAGCATCGCGACGCTCTGGGGCGTCCGGGGAGAGCATCGCGACGCTCTGGGGCGTCCGGGGAGAGCATCGCGACGCTCTGGGGCGTCCGGGAGAGCATCGCGACGCTCTGGGGCGTCCGGGGAGAGCATCGCGACGCTCTGGGGCGTCCGGGAGAGCATCGCGACGCTCTGGGGCGTCCGGGGAGAGCATCGCGACGCTCTGGGGCGTCCGGGGAGAGCATCGCGACGCTCTGGGGCGTCCGGGGGAGAGCATCGCGACGCTCTGGGGCGTCCGGGGAGAGCATCGCGACGCTCTGGGGCGTCCGGGAGAGCATCGCGACGCTCTGGGGCGTCCGGGAGAGCATCGCGACGCTCTGGGGCGTCCGGGGAGAGCATCGCGACGCTCTGGGGCGTCCGGGGAGAGCATCGCGACGCTCTGGGGCGTCGGGGAGAGCATCGCGACGCTCTGGGGCGTCCGGGGAGAGCATCGCGACGCTCTGGGGCGTCCGGGGAGAGCATCGCGACGCTCTGGGGCGTCCGGGGAGAGCATCGCGACGCTCTGGGGCGTCCGGGAGAGCATCGCGACGCTCTGGGGCGTCCGGGGAGAGCATCGCGACGCTCTGGGGCGTCCGGGGAGAGCATCGCGACGCTCTGGGGCGTCCGGGGAGAGCATCGCGACGCTCTGGGGCGTCCGGGGAGAGCATCGCGACGCTCTGGGGCGTCCGGGAGAGCATCGCGACGCTCTGGGGCGTCCGGGGAGAGCATCGCGACGCTCTGGGGCGTCCGGGGAGAGCATCGCGACGCTCTGGGGCGTCCGGGGAGAGCATCGCGACGCTCTGGGGCGTCCGGGGAGAGCATCGCGACGCTCTGGGGCGTCCGGGGAGAGCATCGCGACGCTCTGGGGCGTCCGGGGAGAGCATCGCGACGCTCTGGGGCGTCCGGGGAGAGCATCGCGACGCTCTGGGGCGTCCGGGGAGAGCATCGCGACGCTCTGGGGCGTCCGGGGAGAGCATCGCGACGCTCTGGGGCGTCCGGGGAGAGCATCGCGACGCTCTGGGGCGTCCGGGGAGAGCATCGCGACGCTCTGGGGCGTCCGGGGAGAGCATCGCGACGCTCTGGGGCGTCCGGGGAGAGCATCGCGACGCTCTGGGGCGTCCGGGGAGAGCATCGCGACGCTCTGGGGCGTCCGGGAGAGCATCGCGACGCTCTGGGGCGTCCGGGGAGAGCATCGCGACGCTCTGGGGCGTCCGGGGAGAGCATCGCGACGCTCTGGGGCGTCCGGGGAGAGCATCGCGACGCTCTGGGGCGTCGGGAAGAGCATCGCGACGCTCTGGGGCGTCCGGGGAGAGCATCGCGACGCTCTGGGGCGTCCGGGGAGAGCATCGCGACGCTCTGGGGCGTCCGGGAGAGCATCGCGACGCTCTGGGGCGTCCGGGAGAGCATCGCGACGCTCTGGGGCGTCCGGGGAGAGCATCGCGACGCTCTGGGGCGTCCGGGGAGAGCATCGCGACGCTCTGGGGCGTCCGGGGAGAGCATCGCGACGCTCTGGGGCGTCCGGGGAGAGCATCGCGACGCTCTGGGGCGTCCGGGGAGAGCATCGCGACGCTCTGGGGCGTCCGGGAGAGCATCGCGACGCTCTGGGGCGTCCGGGGAGAGCATCGCGACGCTCTGGGGCGTCCGGGGAGAGCATCGCGACGCTCTGGGGCGTCGGGGAGAGCATCGCGACGCTCTGGGGCGTCCGGGGAGAGCATCGCGACGCTCTGGGGCGTCCGGGAGAGCATCGCGACGCTCTGGGGCGTCCGGGAGAGCATCGCGACGCTCTGGGGCGTCCGGGGAGAGCATCGCGACGCTCTGGGGCGTCCGGGGAGAGCATCGCGACGCTCTGGGGCGTCCGGGGAGAGCATCGCGACGCTCTGGGGCGTCCGGGAGAGCATCGCGACGCTCTGGGGCGTCCGGGGAGAGCATCGCGACGCTCTGGGGCGTCCGGGGAGAGCATCGCGACGCTCTGGGGCGTCCGGGGAGAGCATCGCGACGCTCTGGGGCGTCCGGGGAGAGCATCGCGACGCTCTGGGGCGTCCGGGGAGAGCATCGCGACGCTCTGGGGCGTCCGGGAGAGAGCATCGCGACGCTCTGGGGCGTCCGGGGAGAGCATCGCGACGCTCTGGGGCGTCCGGGGAGAGCATCGCGACGCTCTGGGGCGTCGGGGAGAGCATCGCGACGCTCTCCTGACGGCTCCGGGGGAGAGCATCGCGCGACGCTCTGGGGCGTCCGGGGAGAGCATCGCGACGCTCTGGGGCGTCCGGGGAGAGCATCGCGACGCTCTGGGGCGTCCGGGGAGAGCATCGCGACGCTCTGGGGCGTCCGGGGAGAGCATCGCGACGCTCTGGGGCGTCCGGGGAGAGCATCGCGACGCTCTGGGGCGTCCGGGGAGAGCATCGCGACGCTCTGGGGCGTCCGGGAGAGCATCGCGACGCTCTGGGGCGTCCGGGGAGAGCATCGCGACGCTCTGGGGCGTCCGGGAGAGCATCGCGACGCTCTGGGGCGTCCGGGGAGAGCATCGCGACGCTCTGGGGCGTCCGGGAGAGCATCGCGACGCTCTGGGGCGTCCGGGGAGAGCATCGCGACGCTCTGGGGCGTCCGGGGAGCATCGCGACGCTCTGGGGCGTCCGGGGAGAGCATCGCGACGCTCTGGGGCGTCCGGGAGAGCATCGCGACGCTCTGGGGCGTCCGGGGAGAGCATCGCGACGCTCTGGGGGGCGTCCGGGAGAGCATCGCGACGCTCTGGGGCGTCCGGGGAGAGCATCGCGACGCTCTGGGGCGTCCGGGGAGAGCATCGCGACGCTCTGGGGCGTCCGGGGAGAGCATCGCGACGCTCTGGGGCGTCCGGGGAGAGCATCGCGACGCTCTGGGGCGTCCGGGGAGAGCATCGCGACGCTCTGGGGCGTCCGGGAGAGCATCGCGACGCTCTGGGGCGTCCGGGGAGAGCATCGCGACGCTCTGGGGCGTCCGGGGAGAGCATCGCGACGCTCTGGGGCGTCCGGGGAGAGCATCGCGACGCTCTGGGGCGTCCGGGGAGAGCATCGCGACGCTCTGGGGCGTCCGGGGAGAGCATCGCGACGCTCTGGGGCGTCCGGGGAGAGCATCGCGACGCTCTGGGGCGTCCGGGGAGAGCATCGCGACGCTCTGGGGCGTCCGGGGGAGAGCATCGCGACGCTCTGGGGCGTCCGGGGAGAGCATCGCGACGCTCTGGGGCGTCCGGGGAGAGCATCGCGACGCTCTGGGGCGTCCGGGGAGAGCATCGCGACGCTCTGGGGCGTCCGGGGAGAGCATCGCGACGCTCTGGGGCGTCCGGGGAGAGCATCGCGACGCTCTGGGGCGTCCGGGAGAGCATCGCGACGCTCTGGGGCGTCCGGGAGAGCATCGCGACGCTCTGGGGCGTCCGGGAGAGCATCGCGACGCTCTGGGGCGTCCGGGAGAGCATCGCGACGCTCTGGGGCGTCCGGGGAGAGCATCGCGACGCTCTGGGGCGTCCGGGGAGGGAGGGGGGGGGGGAGAGCATCGCGACGCTCTGGGGCGTCCGGGGAGAGCATCGCGACGCTCTGGGGCGTCCGGGGAGAGCATCGCGACGCTCTGGGGCGTCCGGGGAGAGCATCGCGACGCTCTGGGGCGTCGGGGAGAGCATCGCGACGCTCTGGGGCGTCCGGGGAGAGCATCGCGACGCTCTGGGGCGTCCGGGAGAGCATCGCGACGCTCTGGGGCGTCCGGGGAGAGCATCGCGACGCTCTGGGGCGTCCGGGGAGAGCATCGCGACGCTCTGGGGCGTCCGGGGAGAGCATCGCGACGCTCTGGGGCGTCCGGGGAGAGCATCGCGACGCTCTGGGGCGTCCGGGGAGAGCATCGCGACGCTCTGGGGCGTCCGGGGAGAGCATCGCGACGCTCTGGGGCGTCCGGGGAGAGCATCGCGACGCTCTGGGCGTCCGGGGAGAGCATCGCGACGCTCTGGGGCGTCCGGGGAGAGCATCGCGACGCTCTGGGGCGTCCGGGGAGAGCATCGCGACGCTCTGGGGCGTCCGGGGAGAGCATCGCGACGCTCTGGGGCGTCCGGGAGAGCATCGCGACGCTCTGGGGCGTCCGGGGAGAGCATCGCGACGCTCTGGGGCGTCCGGGAGAGCATCGCGACGCTCTGGGGCGTCCGGGGAGAGCATCGCGACGCTCTGGGGCGTCCGGGGAGAGCATCGCGACGCTCTGGGGCGTCCGGGGAGAGCATCGCGACGCTCTGGGGCGTCCGGGAGAGCATCGCGACGCTCTGGGGCGTCCGGGGAGAGCATCGCGACGCTCTGGGGCGTCCGGGGAGAGCATCGCGACGCTCTGGGGGCGGGCGTCCAGGCATGGAGAGCATCGCGGGCTCCGGGGCCCGCAGCGCGACGCTCTGGGGCGTCCGGGGAGAGCATGCGAGAGAGTCGACGCTCTTGGGCGTCCGGGGAGAGCATCGCGACGCTCTGGGGCGTCCGGGGAGAGCATCGCGACGCTCTGGGGCGTCCGGGGAGAGCATCGCGACGCTCTGGGGCGTCCGGGGAGAGCATCGCGACGCTCTGGGGCGTCCGGGGAGAGCATCGCGACGCTCTGGGGCGTCCGGGGAGAGCATCGCGACGCTCTGGGGCGTCCGGGAGAGCATCGCGACGCTCTGGGGCGTCCGGGGAGAGCATCGCGACGCTCTGGGGCGTCCGGGGAGAGCATCGCGACGCTCTTGGGCGTCCGGGGAGAGCATCGCGACGCTCTGGGGCGTCCGGGGAGAGCATCGCGACGCTCTGGGGCGTCCGGGAGAGCATCGCGACGCTCTGGGCGTCCGGGGAGAGCATCGCGACGCTCTGGGGCGTCCGGGGAGAGCATCGCGACGCTCTGGGGCGTCCGGGGAGAGCATCGCGACGCTCTGGGGCGTCCGGGAGAGCATCGCGACGCTCTGGGGCGTCCGGGGAGAGCATCGCGACGCTCTGGGGCGTCCGGGGAGAGCATCGCGACGCTCTGGGCGTCGGGGAGAGCATCGCGACGCTCTGGGGCGTCCGGGGAGAGCATCGCGACGCTCTGGGGCGTCCGGGGAGAGCATCGCGACGCTCTGGGGCGTCGGGGAGAGCATCGCGACGCTCTGGGGCGTCCGGGGAGAGCATCGCGACGCTCTGGGGCGTCCGGGGAGAGCATCGCGACGCTCTGGGGCGTCCGGGGAGAGCATCGCGACGCTCTGGGGCGTCCGGGAGAGCATCGCGACGCTCTGGGGCGTCCGGGGAGAGCATCGCGACGCTCTGGGGCGTCCGGGGAGAGCATCGCGACGCTCTGGGGCGTCCGGGGAGAGCATCGCGACGCTCTGGGGCGTCCGGGGAGAGCATCGCGACGCTCTGGGGCGTCCGGGGAGAGCATCGCGACGCTCTGGGGCGTCCGGGGAGAGCATCGCGACGCTCTGGGGCGTCGGGGAGAGCATCGCGACGCTCTGGGGCGTCCGGGGAGAGCATCGCGACGCTCTGGGGCGTCCGGGGAGAGCATCGCGACGCTCTGGGGCGTCCGGGAGAGCATCGCGACGCTCTGGGGCGTCCGGGGAGAGCATCGCGACGCTCTGGGGCGTCCGGGAGAGCATCGCGACGCTCTGGGGCGTCCGGGGAGAGCATCGCGACGCTCTGGGGCGTCCGGGAGAGCATCGCGACGCTCTGGGGCGTCCGGGAGAGCATCGCGACGCTCTGGGGCGTCCGGGGAGAGCATCGCGACGCTCTGGGGCGTCCGGGGAGAGCATCGCGACGCTCTGGGGCGTCCGGGGAGAGCATCGCGACGCTCTGGGGCGTCCGGAGAGCATCGCGACGCTCTGGGGCGTCCGGGGAGAGCATCGCGACGCTCTGGGGCGTCCGGGGAGAGCATCGCGACGCTCTGGGGCGTCCGGGGAGAGCATCGCGACGCTCTGGGGCGTCCGGGGAGAGCATCGCGACGCTCTGGGGCGTCCGGGAGAGCATCGCGACGCTCTGGGGCGTCCGGGAGAGCATCGCGACGCTCTGGGGCGTCGGGGAGAGCATCGCGACGCTCTGGGGCGTCCGGGGAGAGCATCGCGACGCTCTGGGGCGTCCGGGAGAGCATCGCGACGCTCTGGGGCGTCCGGGGAGAGCATCGCGACGCTCTGGGGCGTCCGGGAGAGCATCGCGACGCTCTGGGGCGTCCGGGAGAGCATCGCGACGCTCTGGGGCGTCCGGGGAGAGCATCGCGACGCTCTGGGGCGTCCGGGGAGAGCATCGCGACGCTCTGGGGCGTCCGGGGAGAGCATCGCGACGCTCTGGGGCGTCCGGGAGAGCATCGCGACGCTCTGGGGCGTCCGGGGAGAGCATCGCGACGCTCTGGGGCGTCCGGGGAGAGCATCGCGACGCTCTGGGGCGTCCGGGAGAGCATCGCGACGCTCTGGGGCGTCCGGGGAGAGCATCGCGACGCTCTGGGGCGTCCGGGAGAGCATCGCGACGCTCTGGGGCGTCCGGGGAGAGCATCGCGACGCTCTGGGGCGTCCGGGGAGAGCATCGCGACGCTCTGGGGCGTCCGGGGAGAGCATCGCGACGCTCTGGGGCGTCCGGGGAGAGCATCGCGACGCTCTGGGGCGTCCGGGGAGAGCATCGCGACGCTCTGGGGCGTCCGGGAGAGCATCGCGACGCTCTGGGGCGTCCGGGGAGAGCATCGCGACGCTCTGGGGCGTCCGGGAGAGCATCGCGACGCTCTGGGGCGTCCGGGGAGAGCATCGCGACGCTCTGGGGCGTCCGGGGAGAGCATCGCGACGCTCTGGGGCGTCCGGGGAGCATCGCGACGCTCTGGGGCGTCCGGGGAGAGCATCGCGACGCTCTGGGGCGTCCGGGGAGAGCATCGCGACGCTCTGGGGCGTCCGGGGAGAGCATCGCGACGCTCTGGGGCGTCCGGGGAGAGCATCGCGACGCTCTGGGGCGTCCGGGGAGAGCATCGCGACGCTCTGGGGCGTCGGGGAGAGCATCGCGACGCTCTGGGGCGTCCGGGGAGAGCATCGCGACGCTCTGGGGCGTCCGGGAGAGCATCGCGACGCTCTGGGGCGTCCGGGAGAGCATCGCGACGCTCTGGGGCGTCCGGGGAGAGCATCGCGACGCTCTGGGGCGTCCGGGGAGAGCATCGCGACGCTCTGGGGCGTCCGGGAGAGCATCGCGACGCTCTGGGGCGTCCGGGGAGAGCATCGCGACGCTCTGGGGCGTCCGGGAGAGCATCGCGACGCTCTGGGGCGTCCGGGGAGAGCATCGCGACGCTCTGGGGCGTCCGGGGAGAGCATCGCGACGCTCTGGGGCGTCCGGGGAGAGCATCGCGACGCTCTGGGGCGTCCGGGAGAGCATCGCGACGCTCTGGGGCGTCCGGGGAGAGCATCGCGACGCTCTGGGGCGTCCGGGGAGAGAGCATCGCGACGCTCTGGGGCGTCCGGGGAGAGCATCGCGACGCTCTGGGGCGTCCGGGGAGAGCATCGCGACGCTCTGGGGCGTCCGGGGAGAGCATCGCGACGCTCTGGGGCGTCCGGGGAGAGCATCGCGACGCTCTGGGGCGTCCGGGGAGAGCATCGCGACGCTCTGGGGCGTCCGGGGAGAGCATCGCGACGCTCTGGGGCGTCCGGGGAGAGCATCGCGACGCTCTGGGGGCGTCCGGGAGAGCATCGCGACGCTCTGGGGCGTCCGGGGAGAGCATCGCGACGCTCTGGGGCGTCCGGGGAGAGCATCGCGACGCTCTGGGGCGTCCGGGGAGAGCATCGCGACGCTCTGGGGCGTCCGGAGAGCATCGCGACGCTCTGGGGCGTCCGGGGAGAGCATCGCGACGCTCTGGGGCGTCCGGGAGAGCATCGCGACGCTCTGGGGCGTCCGGGGAGAGCATCGCGACGCTCTGGGGCGTCCGGGGAGAGCATCGCGACGCTCTGGGGCGTCCGGGGAGAGCATCGCGACGCTCTGGGGCGTCGGGGGAGAGCATCGCGACGCTCTGGGGCGTCCGGGGAGAGCATCGCGACGCTCTGGGGCGTCCGGGGAGAGCATCGCGACGCTCTGGGGCGTCCGGGGAGAGCATCGCGACGCTCTGGGGCGTCCGGGGAGAGCATCGCGACGCTCTGGGGCGTCCGGGGAGAGAGCATCGCGACGCTCTGGGGCGTCCGGGAGAGCATCGCGACGCTCTGGGGCGTCCGGGGAGAGCATCGCGACGCTCTGGGGGCGTCCGGGGAGAGCATCGCGACGCTCTGGGGCGTCCGGGGAGAGCATCGCGACGCTCTGGGGCGTCCGGGGAGAGCATCGCGACGCTCTGGGGCGTCCGGGGAGAGCATCGCGACGCTCTGGGGCGTCCGGGAGAGCATCGCGACGCTCTGGGGCGTCCGGGAGAGCATCGCGACGCTCTGGGGCGTCCGGGGAGAGCATCGCGACGCTCTGGGGCGTCCGGGGAGAGCATCGCGACGCTCTGGGGCGTCCGGGGAGAGCATCGCGACGCTCTGGGGCGTCCGGGGAGAGCATCGCGACGCTCTGGGGCGTCCGGGGAGAGCATCGCGACGCTCTGGGGCGTCCGGGGAGAGCATCGCGACGCTCTGGGGCGTCCGGGAGAGCATCGCGACGCTCTGGGGCGTCCGGGGAGAGCATCGCGACGCTCTGGGGCGTCCGGGGAGAGCATCGCGACGCTCTGGGGCGTCCGGGGAGAGCATCGCGACGCTCTGGGGCGTCCGGGGAGAGCATCGCGACGCTCTGGGGCGTCCGGGGAGAGCATCGCGACGCTCTGGGGCGTCCGGGAGAGCATCGCGACGCTCTGGGGCGTCCGGGAGAGCATCGCGACGCTCTGGGGCGTCCGGGGAGAGCATCGCGACGCTCTGGGGCGTCCGGGGAGAGCATCGCGACGCTCTGGGGCGTCCGGGAGAGCATCGCGACGCTCTGGGGCGTCCGGGGAGAGCATCGCGACGCTCTGGGGCGTCCGGGGAGAGCATCGCGACGCTCTGGGGCGTCCGGGAGAGCATCGCGACGCTCTGGGGCGTCCGGGGAGAGCATCGCGACGCTCTGGGGCGTCCGGGGAGAGCATCGCGACGCTCTGGGGCGTCCGGGGAGAGCATCGCGACGCTCTGGGGCGTCCGGGGAGAGCATCGCGACGCTCTGGGGCGCCGGGAGAGCATCGCGACGCTCTGGGGCGTCCGGGGAGAGCATCGCGACGCTCTGGGGCGTCCGGGGAGAGCATCGCGACGCTCTGGGGCGTCCGGGGAGAGCATCGCGACGCTCTGGGGCGTCCGGGGAGAGCATCGCGACGCTCTGGGGCGTCCGGGGAGAGCATCGCGACGCTCTGGGGCGTCCGGGAGAGCATCGCGACGCTCTGGGGCGTCCGGGAGAGCATCGCGCTCTCTGGGGCGTCCGGGGAGAGCATCGCGACGCTCTGGGGCGTCCGGGGAGAGCATCGCGACGCTCTGGGGCGTCCGGGGAGAGCATCGCGACGCTCTGGGGCGTCCGGGAGAGCATCGCGACGCTCTGGGGCGTCCGGGGAGAGCATCGCGACGCTCTGGGGCGTCGGGGAGAGCATCGCGACGCTCTGGGGCGTCCGGGAGAGCATCGCGACGCTCTGGGGCGTCCGGGAGAGCATCGCGACGCTCTGGGGGGCCGGGGAGAGCATCGCGACGCTCTGGGGCGTCCGGGAGAGCATCGCGACGCTCTGGGGCGTCCGGGGAGAGCATCGCGACGCTCTGGGGCGTCCGGGGAGAGCATCGCGACGCTCTGGGGCGTCCGGGAGAGAGCATCGCGACGCTCTGGGGCGTCCGGGAGAGCATCGCGACGCTCTGGGGCGTCCGGGGAGAGCATCGCGACGCTCTGGGGCGTCCGGGAGAGCATCGCGACGCTCTGGGGCGTCCGGGGAGAGCATCGCGACGCTCTGGGGCGTCCGGGGAGAGCATCGCGACGCTCTGGGGCGTCCGGGGAGAGCATCGCGACGCTCTGGGGCGTCCGGGGAGAGCATCGCGACGCTCTGGGGCGTCCGGGGAGAGCATCGCGACGCTCTGGGGCGTCCGGGGAGAGCATCGCGACGCTCTGGGGCGTCCGGGGAGAGCATCGCGACGCTCTGGGGCGTCCGGGGAGAGCATCGCGACGCTCTGGGGCGTCCGGGGAGAGCATCGCGACGCTCTGGGGCGTCCGGGAGAGCATCGCGACGCTCTGGGCGTCCGGGGAGAGCATCGCGACGCTCTGGGGCGTCCGGGAGAGCATCGCGACGCTCTGGGGCGTCCGGGAGAGCATCGCGACGCTCTGGGGCGTCCGGGAGAGCATCGCGACGCTCTGGGGCGTCCGGGGAGAGCATCGCGACGCTCTGGGGCGTCCGGGAGAGCATCGCGACGCTCTGGGGCGTCCGGGAGAGCATCGCGGGGGGGTGGGAGACGCTCTCTGGGGCGTCCGGGGAGAGCATCGCGACGCTCTGGGGCGGCTGGGGAGAGCATCGCGACGCTCTGGGGCGTCCGGGAGAGCATCGCGACGCTCTGGGGCGTCCGGGGAGAGCATCGCGACGCTCTGGGGCGTCCGGGGAGAGCATCGCGACGCTCTGGGGCGTCCCGGGAGAGCATCGCGACGCTCTGGGCGTCCGGGAGAGCATCGCGACGCTCTGGGGCGTCCGGGAGAGCATCGCGACGCTCTGGGGCGTCCGGGGAGAGCATCGCGACGCTCTGGGGCGTCCGGGGAGAGCATCGCGACGCTCTGGGCGGCCGGGGAGAGCATCGCGACGCTCTGGGGCGTCCGGGAGAGCATCGCGACGCTCTGGGGCGTCCGGGGAGAGCATCGCGACGCTCTGGGGCGTCCGGGGAGAGCATCGCGACGCTCTGGGGCGTCCGGGGAGAGAGCATCGCGACGCTCTGGGGCGTCCGGGAAGAGCATCGCGACGCTCTGGGGCGTCCGGGGAGAGCATCGCGACGCTCTGGGCGTCCGGGGAGAGCATCGCGACGCTCTGGGGCGTCCGGGAGAGCATCGCGACGCTCTGGGGCGTCCGGGGAGAGCATCGCGACGCTCTGGGCGTCCGGGGAGAGCATCGCGACGCTCTGGGGCGTCCGGGGAGAGCATCGCGACGCTCTGGGGCGTCCGGGGAGAGCATCGCGACGCTCTGGGGCGTCCGGGGAGAGCATCGCGACGCTCTGGGGCGTCCGGGGAGAGCATCGCGACGCTCTGGGGCGTCCGGGGAGAGCATCGCGACGCTCTGGGGCGTCCGGGGAGAGCATCGCGACGCTCTGGGGCGTCCGGGAGAGCATCGCGACGCTCTGGGGCGTCCGGGGAGAGCATCGCGACGCTCTGGGGCGTCCGGGGAGAGCATCGCGACGCTCTGGGGCGTCCGGGGAGAGCATCGCGACGCTCTGGGCGTCCGGGGAGAGCATCGCGACGCTCTGGGGCGTCCGGGGAGAGCATCGCGACGCTCTGGGGCGTCCGGGGAGAGCATCGCGACGCTCTGGGGCGTCCGGGGAGAGCATCGCGACGCTCTGGGGCGTCCGGGGAGAGCATCGCGACGCTCTGGGGCGTCCGGGAAGAGCATCGCGACGCTCTGGGGCGTCCGGGGAGAGCATCGCGACGCTCTGGGGCGTCCGGGGAGAGCATCGCGACGCTCTGGGGCGTCCGGGGAGAGCATCGCGACGCTCTGGGGCGTCCGGGAGAGCATCGCGACGCTCTGGGGCGTCCGGGGAGAGCATCGCGACGCTCTGGGGCGTCCGGGGAGAGCATCGCGACGCTCTGGGGCGTCCGGGAGAGCATCGCGACGCTCTGGGGCGTCCGGGGAGAGCATCGCGACGCTCTGGGGCGTCCGGGGAGAGCATCGCGACGCTCTGGGGCGTCCGGGGAGAGCATCGCGACGCTCTGGGGCGTCCGGGGAGAGCATCGCGACGCTCCCTCCCACCTCCCTGGGGCGTCCGGGAGAGCATCGCGACGCTCTGGGGCGTCCGGGGAGAGCATCGCGACGCTCTGGGGCGTCCGGGGAGAGCATCGCGACGCTCTGGGGCGTCCGGGGAGAGCATCGCGACGCTCTGGGGCGTCCGGGGAGAGCATCGCGACGCTCTGGGGCGTCCGGGGAGAGCATCGCGACGCTCTGGGGCGTCCGGGGAGAGCATCGCGACGCTCTGGGGCGTCCGGGAAGAGCATCGCGACGCTCTGGGGTCCGGGGAGAGCATCGCGACGCTCTGGGGCGTCCGGGGAGAGCATCGCGACGCTCTGGGGCGTCCGGGGAGAGCATCGCGACGCTCTGGGGCGTCCGGGGGAGCATCGCGACGCTCTGGGGCGTCCGGAGAGCATCGCGACGCTCTGGGGCGTCCGGGGAGAGCATCGCGACGCTCTGGGCGTCCGGGGAGAGCATCGCGACGCTCTGGGGCGTCCGGGGAGAGCATCGCGACGCTCTGGGGCGTCCGGGGAGAGCATCGCGACGCTCTGGGGCGTCCGGGGAGAGCATCGCGACGCTCTGGGGCGTCCGGGGAGAGCATCGCGACGCTCTGGGGCGTCCGGGAGAGCATCGCGACGCTCTGGGGCGTCCGGGGAGAGCATCGCGACGCTCTGGGGCGTCCGGGAGAGCATCGCGACGCTCTGGGGCGTCCGGGGAGAGCATCGCGACGCTCTGGGGCGTCCGGGGAGAGCATCGCGACGCTCTGGGGCGTCCGGGGAGAGCATCGCGACGCTGGGGGCGTCCGGGAGAGCATCGCGACGCTCTGGGGCGTCCGGGGAGAGCATCGCGACGCTCTGGGGCGTCCGGGAGAGCATCGCGACGCTCTGGGGCGTCCGGGGAGAGCATCGCGACGCTCTGGGGCGTCCGGGAGAGCATCGCGACGCTCTGGGGCGTCCGGGGAGAGCATCGCGACGCTCTGGGGCGTCCGGGGAGAGCATCGCGACGCTCTGGGGCGTCCGGGGAGAGCATCGCGACGCTCTGGGCGTCCGGGGAGAGCATCGCGACGCTCTGGGGCGTCCGGAGAGCATCGCGACGCTCTGGGGCGTCCGGGGAGAGCATCGCGACGCTCTGGGGCGTCCGGGGAGAGCATCGCGACGCTCTGGGGCGTCCGGGAGAGCATCGCGACGCTCTGGGGCGTCCGGGAGAGCATCGCGACGCTCTGGGGCGTCCGGGGAGAGCATCGCGACGCTCTGGGGCGTCCGGGGAGAGCATCGCGACGCTCTGGGGCGTCCGGGGAGAGCATCGCGACGCTCTGGGGCGTCCGGGGAGAGCATCGCGACGCTCTGGGGCGTCCGGGGAGAGCATCGCGACGCTCTGGGGCGTCCGGGAGAGCATCGCGACGCTCTGGGGCGTCCGGGGAGAGCATCGCGACGCTCTGGGGCGTCCGGGGAGAGCATCGCGACGCTCTGGGGCGTCCGGGGAGAGCATCGCGACGCTCTGGGGCGTCCGGGGAGAGCATCGCGACGCTCTGGGGCGTCCGGGGAGAGCATCGCGACGCTCTGGGGCGTCCGGGGAGAGCATCGCGACGCTCTGGGGGCGTCCGGGGAGAGCATCGCGACGCTCTGGGGCGTCCGGGAGAGCATCGCGACGCTCTGGGGCGTCCGGGGAGAGCATCGCGACGCTCTGGGGCGTCCGGGGAGAGCATCGCGACGCTCTGGGGCGTCCGGGGAGCATCGCGACGCTCTGGGGCGTCCGGGGAGAGCATCGCGACGCTGGGGCGGGGGAGAGCGCGCTCTGGGGCGTCCGGGGAGAGCATCGCGACGCTCTGGGGCGTCCGGAGAGAGCATCGCGACGCTCTGGGGCGTCCGGGGAGAGCATCGCGACGCTCTGGGGCGTCCGGGAGAGCATCGTCGGAGGGGGGGGGAGAGGGCGACGCTCTGGGGCGTCCGGGGAGAGCATCGCGACGCTCTGGGGCGTCCGGGAGAGCATCGCGACGCTCTGGGCGTCCGGGGAGAGCATCGCGACGCTCTGGGGCGTCCGGGGAGAGCATCGCGACGCTCTGGGGCGTCCGGGGAGAGCATCGCGACGCTCTGGGGCGTCGGGGAGAGCATCGCGACGCTCTGGGGCGTCCGGGGAGAGCATCACGACGCTCTGGGGCGTGGGAGAGCATCGCGACGCTCTGGGGCGTCCGGGGAGAGCATCGCGACGCTCTGGGGCGTCCGGGGAGAGCATCGCGACGCTCTGGGGCGTCCGGGAGAGCATCGCGACGCTCTGGGGCGTCCGGGGAGAGCATCGCGACGCTCTGGGGCGTCCGGGAGAGCATCGCGACGCTCTGGGGCGTCCGGGGAGAGCATCGCGACGCTCTGGGGCGTCCGGGGAGAGCATCGCGACGCTCTGGGGCGTCCGGGGAGAGCATCGCGACGCTCTGGGGCGTCCGGGGAGAGCATCGCGACGCTCTGGGGCGTCCGGGGAGAGCATCGCGACGCTCTGGGGCGTCCGGGGAGAGCATCGCGACGCTCTGGGGCGTCCGGGGAGAGCATCGCGACGCTCTGGGGCGTCCGGGGAGAGCATCGCGACGCTCTGGGGCGTCCGGGGAGAGCATCGCGACGCTCTGGGGCGTCCGGGAGAGCATCGCGACGCTCTGGGGCGTCCGGGGAGAGCATCGCGACGCTCTGGGGCGTCCGGGGAGAGCATCGCGACGCTCTGCTGGGCGTCGGGGAGAGCATCGCGACGCTCTGGGGCGTCCGGGGAGAGCATCGCGACGCTCTGGGGCGTCCGGGGAGAGCATCGCGACGCTCTGGGGCGTCCGGGGAGAGCATCGCGACGCTCTGGGGCGTCCGGGGAGAGCATCGCGACGCTCTGGGGCGTCCGGGAGGAGAGCATCGCGACGCTCTGGGGCGTCCGGGGAGAGCATCGCGACGCTCTGGGCGTCCGGGGAGAGCATCGCGACGCTCTGGGCGTCCGGGAGAGCATCGCGACGCTCTGGGGCGTCCGGGGAGAGCATCGCGACGCTCTGGGGCGTCCGGGGAGAGCATCGCGACGCTCTGGGGCGTCCGGGAGAGCATCGCGACGCTCTGGGGCGTCCGGGGAGAGCATCGCGACGCTCTGGGCGTCCGGGGAGAGCATCGCGACGCTCTGGGGCGTCCGGGGAGAGCATCGCGACGCTCTGGGGCGTCCGGGGAGAGCATCGCGACGCTCTGGGGCGTCCGGGGAGAGCATCGCGACGCTCTGGGGCGTCCGGGGAGAGCATCGCGACGCTCTGGGGCGTCCGGGGAGAGCATCGCGACGCTCTGGGGCGTCCGGGGAGAGCATCGCGACGCTCTGGGGCGTCCGGGGAGAGCATCGCGACGCTCTGGGGCGTCGGGGAGAGCATCGCGACGCTCTGGGGCGTCCGGGGAGAGCATCGCGACGCTC